TATATTTGTTGGTGACCTCCAGTTTACGGGTTATATTTGTTGGTGACCTCAAGTTCACGGGTTATATTTTTGCCGGACCTCCAGTTTACGGGTTGTATTTGTTAGTGACCTCCAGTTTACAGGTTATATTTGTTGGTGACCTCCAGTTTACGAGTTATATTTGTTGGTGACCTCCAGTTTACGGGTTATATTTGTTCGTTACCACAACTTTACGGGTTATATTTTTGTGTGACCTCAAGTTACAGGTTATATTTGTTGGTGACATCCAGTTTACCGGTTATATTTGTTGGTGACCTCCAGTTTACGGGTTATATTTGTTGGTGACCTCCAGTTTACGGGTTATATTAGTTTGATAATTGTTATGTTTAATATACATGTATATATGTTTAGTTTTAAATCATTGATTTTCCTTAGATTTCATTTTTGCGATTTTATTAATTTATTTATCTTTTTATTTTTGTGTAGATAACATCGTAGTTAATTTGATTGTAAATGTAAAAATCACTTCTTTCTTGATCCAGGGAGAGATTAATTTACTTCTCATTTTCTAATTGACATTTCATTTAATTTGTATTTATTCGATTTTAAATTAATATTTATCACGAAATGTTCATATATGTGTGATGCACAAACAGTATGAAGTAGAACATCACACTTGATCTTAATTAAGCTGTCTTTGTTATGAAATGATGCTTCTCTGTATCCAAATTGACTGGCGAAGCACATAGTGTTATGCGAGTACGGACAGTAAAATAATATACACAGGGAAGGTTTGATTGAAAGCATGTTTACGGGTTATATTTTTGCGTGACCTCAAGTTTGCAAGTTATATTTTTGCGTGGCCTCCTGTTTTCGGGTTATATTTTGCGTGGCCTCCTGTTTTCGGGTTGTATTTGTTGGTGACCTCCAGTTTACAGGTTATATTTGTTGGTGACCTCCAGTTTACGGGTTATATTTGTTGGTGACCTCCAGTTTACGGGTTATATTTGTTGGTGACCTCAAGTTCACGGGTTATATTTTTGCCGGACCTCCAGTTTACGGGTTGTATTTGTTAGTGACCTCCAGTTTACAGGTTATATTTGTTGGTGACCTCCAGTTTACGAGTTATATTTGTTGGTGACCTCAAGTTCACGGGTTATATTTTTGCCGGACCTCCAGTTTACGGGTTGTATTTGTTAGTGACCTCCAGTTTACTGGTTATATTTGTTGGTGACCTCCAGTTTACGAGTTATATTTGTTGGTGACCTCCAGTTTACGGGTTATATTTGTTCGTTACCACAACTTTACGGGTTATATTTTTGTGTGACCTCAAGTTACAGGTTATATTTGTTGGTGACATCCAGTTTACCGGTTATATTTGTTGGTGACCTCCAGTTTACGGGTTATATTTGTTGGTGACTTCCAGTTTACGGGTTATATTAGTTTGATAATTGTTATGTTTAATATATATGTATATATGTTTAGTTTTAAATCATTAATTTTCCTTAGATTACATTTTTGCGATTTTATTAATTTATTTATCTTTTTATTTTTGTGTAGATAACATCGTAGTTAATTTGATTGTAAATGTAAAAATCACTTCTTTCTTGATCCAGGGAGAGATTAATTTACTTCTCATTTTCTAATTGACATTTCATTTAATTTGTATTTATTCGATTTTAAATTAATATTTATCACGAAATGTTCATATATGTGTGATGCACAAACAGTATGAAGTAGAACATCACACTTGATCTTAATTAAGCTGTCTTTGTTATGAAATGATGCTTCTCTGTATCCAAATTGACTGGCGAAGCACATAGTGTTATGCGAGTACGGACAGTAAAATAATATACACAGGGAAGGTTTGATTGAAAGCAAACCTAAGGATTCGCTTCGTTGTGTCCAAAGATAAAATTGGACGAATTTCAATGCAGGGACAAAAAAGAAGTGCTCTGGTTGGTCAAAACTACCAAAGGTATATCATCACTGGAAAACGTTATATCATCACTATATGGTGAACAGTAACAATTTATTGTATATCAAACTGATTAATCCCTATGCTTTTGCTGGCAAATGTATAATAGAAGCAGGTAGACAGGTTTGTCGATGATAAATAACTGGTCTTCTGAATAAAAAAATTAGACATAAGAAGATAATTCAACTGGAGTTTATAAAGATATATATAAGTATTTTGATTTTGATTAAAAAAACAAAGTTTGTTTTTGGTGTAAATGTATTGATTCAGTTGTCAATGGTGAATTGACTTTGGATTCTAGATTTATTACGTTCACGTCTGTCACCACGTGTTTTTTCTGTAACTCTAACCCTCAAAAGCCATTGTCATACCCAAATGACAAAATACAAGTTTAATCAAATTGATTCAAAATTTATTCATGTTGTCAGAAGTAGTAGCCAAACAAGATAAACAAATTCCAAAATTATTCACTGATCAATCTAAAAATACAGTGTATATTATTCAGCATAAAGTGTCATTATCAGAATAAATCTACAACATTTCCTTTCAACTTGAAGAACGCGTTATACCCAAAGTAAATGTAGATAATATTAAAGTGCAATGAATACTTCTATTAATATTTAACAGAAAGTCCGCTACTAATTTGTGTCGTTCACTAAATCTTCCAGAGATCCGAAGTCAAACTCTTCAGTTAATCTTTTTTCTTACTAAGATGTCTCTTGTTCTTAAATCCCTATGATAACCAGAACATCCAATGTTCTTAAATCGCTATGATAAGTTCTAACCAGGACATCACGTCTTCTTAAATCGCTATGATAAGTTCTAACCAGGACATCACGTCTTCTTAAATCGATCACGTCTTCTTAAATCGCTATGATAAGTTCTAACCAGGACATCACGTCTTCTTAAATCGCTATGATAAGTTCTAACCAGGACATCACGTCTTCTTAAATCGCTATGATAAGTTCTAACCAGGACATCACGTCTTCTTAAATCGCTATGATAACCAGGACATCCAGTGTTCTTAAATCCCCATGATAAGTTCTAACCAAGACATCCCATACTTTTCTCCATAGAATTTACTTTCATTTTAAGGTTAACATATATTGGCAACAGGACATAAAATGACATATAGTGTAAATTATATCTACACGCTACATAAATCAACTATTGAAAACTACTGCGATATCTAAAGACGACAATAACAAATGATCAAATGTTAGCTATACAGTATCTTAAATGTTTTCTATTGCTATTCTTACCCAGATTTAACTTATACATGATCATGACATCACGAATGGTCAATCTATATAATGTAAACCAAAATTCTGTCACAGCTTTCTTACTTGGTTTTACTATGTAATGTCTCTAATCTTGACTTCAGGTATTATGTCATTAAAACTCGATTGCATGGCCCGCATCTAATTTTAGAAAATAAGAATTACGGTCGCCTTAACGTGTCATTAAATAATACATGTGACCAATTAACTTAAAGCAACATTGAACAGAGTGGAAATTAAGAGGGGAAGTATACATTCATCACCAGGTTGTCTTGATCGATTTTATAACTCAAAATATAATTGGGATATCAATGATATCATTAGCTTCGTTCCAGTTAGACCTCCAAACGATTATTGTGTATGATTTGAAAAATCAATACACCAGTCGTCCCAGAATGGTCAATAAGACTACCTCGTCGACATATGCTGGTATATCAGTGACTGATAGATGGCTTAACTTAAACACTTCGTAAATAGTCTACTTACAGGCCAATATCTGATTGACAAGATTAATTTTATTTGTGATATGTAACAGCTATTTCAGGTTTTACTTGTGTTTCATGGTATGCATATCAACTTCATTAGCTAGGTCATTTGGCTTCACGATTTGGAATAATGACTGAATTGTTTCTTACATATAAAGTTAAAAGTATATGTCGACATTTTAAATAATGAAAACATTGACACATAACACATTCCTGTACGAGAAATATCAACTATCTAAGCTTCAAGTTTAGTATGATAAAAGTCGAAAGGCTACCGGAAAGGGGAGACTACTGGAAATGGACACATTTAATAATATAACTATATGCAGAACTGTCATTGTGATATATAAGTGATTGGTTAAATCTTAAGATTATAATTAATGGTTTAGTTAGTAATTAGAACAATTGTGTATGTCTACCTATGCTCTGTTGCTAATCAATTCATCAGAAAAAAGGCAATATGGAACGAGTGAAATTCATAGGAAATGATATCATGCAAAATCACCACAAAATCATATTGCATTTTTTAGTACATTTTTACCTGTCCATAAAGACATCCGTTATATCAAGGCCTACTCTCATAAAAGGTCATTTCTTTGGTTCCCTATGTAACAAAATTCACAGTAATTGAACCTCTGTATAAAGGCCACCTATATATTAAGGTCTCTTTTTCTGCTTCGATGAATGGCCTTTAACGACACATTTCTCTGCATTACATATCATGTTACATGCGGATTTTTAAAAAGATTTCATGTCTTACCTCATTTTTTTAGTCAACCATATTTGTCCTTCGGTACTGTTAAATGACCATTAGTGATATAGCACGGCCTCATGCAATATAAACAAAGTCATGGAATATCTGTTCATATGACATACCAATTACGAAAAACTGCCTTCTATTCAATGAGCTTACACCTTATCACATTAGCTTGCAGACAATTATTCCTCGATATTTCTACAGATTATACTAAGAAATCCCGCTTTCAAATGTTTCGAAAATTCTCGAGTAATGCAAAGAGATTCCATTCTTACAGTGACAGGTAAACGTTCTTGTCTTTAACAATCTAGAGTAAACATCATTACATATCTAACGTCATCGTGCAATAAATTATGATATATCAAGCGATACACAGAAAAGAATATGCAAACATACGAAATCAAAAGTCTACGATTCGACATGCTCCAAATATCGTTTTCTAAAACATATAGCAATGTCTTCCAAGTGCTAAAAGAAAACGAGATCCACAAGACCATACAGTCCAAAATTCAGAGCACAGCCTACGCAGAGTTCTTGAAGTAACCGCTTACAAAAATGCCAACCGTTGATACGATGTTCACTAAAAGGAAAAACCAAAAGCAGAGGAAATCGACTGCTGACGTGACATCTTGCCATGTCAATTCTGAGCTCTCTTGTGGTTCTATGAATGCTTTTTTGATGGAACGTTTAGTGATTTCGCCTTCTTCGGCCTTTTCTTTCTTTTTTTCTTTCCCGTTAGTAAGGCTTGTCTCAAACACACACGCGTCTAGATTTATTTGGTTCCTCTTGATGCAACGCAACGTCTTGCAGAAGCGAACTATATACACAGCAGATTTAGGTATAACGTGGGACCTGTCGCGGAAATGGAGTCGGAGTTCGAATATAGTAATTATTACAATTGCGGTTCCCAAACACACAAGTAATATAAGATAGGTACTCAATAAAGACATGGTAGAGCTTACCGGAAGTGACGCACTAACGATTGTTAGGAACACAGCGAATGCCAGATATACAGTCATGATGTAACCAATCTTCTCGCCACTGTCAGCAGGTAAGGCAAACACAAACACAGAAAGCAGCGACAACATGACGATAGGAAATACGACATTATAGAGAATATACTGAGGTTTTCGTTTTACTGTGAGAGAAAACGTGACGATAGCCCCGTCGACTGCCGATTCGGATGCTGCAGCTGACGTCGCTAGGAGATCCCATTCACCGTTGGATTGATACTCATTGAGCAAGATACCTTCATCACCTACCTCTACGTCTACCGCATCAAGCGGACTGGTCCAAACTCCAAATTTAATGTCGCACGTTTGTTTATCAAACGGAAAATCCGCTATGTCGATAGAACATTTCGTCTCCAATACATCAAAAGGACGCCATATGACTAAACCATCATTTAGAATTTTAGTCAACAAAAAGTCATCTCCAAGTTCCCTCAATTTTGTAAAACCATTTTCCAAAGCAATGTCTGGCTTCCAAATATCTTTCTGTGGCACGTATATAATATCAGTACCATTGTAGTCTGCCGGATCCCATTTCATGTAATCATCTATCCATTCTAACTCCAGAAATGCCGTCGATGTCATTTTCTCTTGTACCTCATCAATATCGGTAATTCCAACGAGATTTAAATTCACGTACAAAATGATTGGGTTTGATTGATCCACGGAAGGACGAACTACTTTGTTGTAGGAATTTGTGGTAAATATGTTATTAATCAGGGCCTTTACATTATCATGCGTGTATGCTTTAACTGGACACAAGAATAAAGGCAGAAAACCCCATGCGAACACCAATACACTAATATGCATCATGAACTGTTATTTCTCTTCTAAAGCGTCAATTTTAGAAATTCAATTTAAATCACACGCTATTTTTCCAATCAGTACTTGATGATATAAATAGTAAATAGTCGATGTCTTTCGTAGAAAAATATTAATTTGGCGAACGAGACTTCCACGATGTTGCCCGTCTTCAAATGAAATGATTCAATAGACCTCTCTGATTCTCTGTATAACACCTCCTGTATAATATTCGATATCAATCTACACTCATCACATGCTTGTTATAAACTTTATACTGACAGGATTTCCTTCACAACAGCTGATACTGGACCGATCACCTGAATAGTCAGGATGTACTGCTAGAACAGTTCCGAATAATTACATATTTATAAATTTATGATATATAGCTAAAAAGATAGTTTTCATAATAGCCATGTAACCAGTTCACAGCTTTACACACCAATGAAGCTCAATAAGCGTCGCAAGTGTGAAGTACCCATATGTATCAAATACATTATATATATATATATATGTTTTTCTTGATTAATTAATAATCCTACAATGATATCGACGTTTGTTACGCCTACAAAATCGATAGTCAATTCCCAAAGTGTTCTCATATCTAATTAGAAATATTCCAGGGAGAGGATCAATGATTGTTTTTTACATTAAAACTTGCGAATCGGTTCGAATAATAATACATTTTGTAAACAGTGTGCTTGTTGTTTTAACATTAAAACTTGCGGATTGGTTCCCGCAATAATACATTTTGTAAACAGTTTGCTTGTTTTTACAATAAAGCTTGCGGATTGGTTGGAACAATAATACATTTTGTAAATAGTTTTTTATTGATTTTACAATAAAGTTTGCGAATTTGTTCGAATGATAATACATATTGTAAAAAGTTTGCTTCCCCAAACATCGTAAACATAAGGATATGTTTTAGTTTTACGAAACCTCGCCTATATATCGTTTTGTTTAATCATTGACTTTAATTATTGCATGAATTACTAGCCATAATTACTTTGCTGACATCGCCACCACGACGCACAAGTAGACGTTACGGTTAAGTAACCAACCCAAATGAGGATTTATTTTAAATACCTCAGTGGATTCATTGTATTTCATCGACTATACATTCAAAGTAAATGCATATCTTTGATAAATAGAGTTCTTAGAATTAGTAGAATTGCATGACGTTCACGACTACTCAGTGTGATACACCTCATTTCATATCAGGATTCACATACATAATAAAAATATATTAACAACCTATTTCGGATCTTTCTGACCGCCCACGTTTTAGTGCTTAATCTATTTTGGACTGTGAAATGATATGAAGAAAAATGTGTACTCGGATTATGGTATCGCCGGCTGCGTGACAGATTCATCGTGATTTGTCTATTTAGATTGATCGTGAATTATTGTTATACACATGTTGTCGGGTCCTCCCAGTAATTAAATGGTATAAATGTGACTGTTAAAAGTGAAAAATAAACTTGAAATAATGCAAAAACTGAATGAACAAATCCACCGCTGGCTGTCCCTTAGTTGGTTTCGTTGTTGTATATCTTGTTCTCATTTAAGAACCCGACATTACTTACTTGGATTGACCAAGGTGTACATAGTGTTGTCAATGGAGCAGAAGACACTTACCCTTCCGAAACACAATGTCTTATTCCCTCCTTTTTCAGAAGGCTCCGAGTAATTCTTTATTTTGCGCAGATTTTGCTATGATTGTATTGAATCTTGGCGTGGATGATGCTGATGTTGACATGTTGGTATTTCCTTGTTGTTTTTGCTGCACCCTGTGTAAAGTTTACTGTTCGCCGTTTATTATCATATATATTTCATTCATATGACAGACTGTATCGACATAAAATGTTCATTCACCAAATATTCAACGTTTCCTATTGATTTAAGAAGGGATAATTCTTACAATTTTCTGTAGCTCGAGAAATTTTGCAGGCATTGAAAAGTATGGAATTAAAGGCGTGTATGTTACGTTCATTGATGATTGGTGATTTTTTCTTGGTGTGTTGGGACCTGTTGTTTCGTTTCTGTCGTCTATGTTGAATACAGCATCGCGATAATATCAACATGCCAATAGGATTATAATAAAACTAGGGCAAAATATGAATAAGAGAAAGATATATTCGGAGACTCCGGGAAAAGTACAAGGAGAATAAATTTCTTGTTATTTGCAGACAAAACGTCATCATTATACCTGAAAGTGACATTAAACGACTTTCTCTATCAAACGGAACCTGTATCCAGTTTTGACTTGAAAGTCTTTCTACGATTCTGGGTCATTCGGTTGATTTGATATTGTTATTGATTAAAGCAGACACGCTTAGAACAAATAAGCATAACTTGGATAATCAAGCCCAATAGAAAATAATTTATTTTAATTACAATGGAAAACCACTTATTTTCAGCACAATGGAAAATCCTTTATTTTCAGCACAATAGAAAATCTCTTATTTTCAGCACAATAGAAAACCACTTATTTTCAGAACAATAGAAAATCACTTATTTTCAGCACAATGGAAAATCTCTTATTTTCAGCACGATGAAAAATCTCTTATTTTCAGAACAATAGAAAATCACTTATTTTCAGCACAATGGAAAATCTCTTATTTTCAGCACAATGGAAAATCTCTTATTTTCAGCACAATGGAAAATCACTTATTTTCAGCACAATAGAAAATCTCTTATTTTCAGTACAATAGAAAATCACTTATTTTCAGCACAATAGAAAATCTCTTATTTTCAGCACAATGGAAAATCTGTTATTTTCAGCACAATGGAAAATCTCTTATTTTCAGCACAATGGAAAATCTCTTATTTTCAGCACAATAGAAAACCACTTATTTTCAGCACAATGGAAAATCACTTATTTTAAGCACAATAGAAAACCACTTATTTTCAGCAGAATAGAAAATCACTTATTTTAAGCACAATAGAAAACCACTTATTTTCAGCACGATAGAAAATCTCTTATTTTCAGCACAATAGAAAACCACTTATTTTCAGCACAATGAAAAATCTCTTATTTTCAGCACAATGGAAAATCACTTATTTTCAGCACAATGGAAAATCTCTTATTTTCAGCACAATGGAAAATCACTTATTTTCAGCACAATGGAAAATCACTTATTTTCAGCACAATGGAAAATCTAAAATCTCTTATTTTCAGCACAATAGAAAATCTCTTATTTTCAGCACAATAGAAAATCTCTTATTTTCAGCACAATAGAAAACCACTTATTTTCAGCACAATGGAAAATGTCTTATTTTCAGCACAATGGAAAATCACTTATTTTCAGCACAATAGAAAATCTCTTATTTTCAGTACAATAGAAAATCACTTATTTTCAGCACAATAGAAAATCTATTATTTTCAGCACAATGGAAAATCTCTTATTTTCAGCACAATAGAAAATCACTTATTTTCAGCACAATAGAAAATCTCTTATTTTCAGCACAATAGAAAATCTCTTATTTTCAGCACAATGGAAAATCTCTTATTTTCAGCACAATAGAAAATCTCTTATTTTCAGCACAATGGAAAATCTAAAATCTCTTATTTTCAGCACAATAGAAAATCTCTTATTTTCAGCACAATAGAAAATCACTTATTTTCAGCACAATAGAAAACCACTTATTTTCAGCACAATGGAAAATCTCTTATTTTCAGCACAATGGAAAATCACTTATTTTCAGCACAATAGAAAATCTCTTATTTTCAGTACAATAGAAAATCACTTATTTTCAGCACAATAGAAAATCTATTATTTTCAGCACAATGGAAAATCTCTTATTTTCAGCACAATAGAAAATCTCTTATTTTCAGTACAATAGAAAATCTCTTATTTTCAGCACAATGTAAAATCTCTTATTTTCAGCACAATAGAAAATCACTTATTTTCAGCACAATAGAAAACCACTTATTTTCAGCACAATAGAAAATTACTTTCGTTCATTTCAGGAAAATGTAAAGATGTATCTTTAAGTGGCGATGTGAATAGTAAAGATGGCGTTGTCATTTAATATCCATGTCATGAAAATATCTTTTCCAGAATTGCACTATAATTAAACAATGTGTTGAGAATACGGAGTTATTTCTTTTTGTTTTTTCCAGACGTTTTCAGCTCATTTCTAACATATTTTAAGCTTCGATCGGCAGATTGATTCAAAAATGTTTTAAGAATAAGGAATTCCTTTCCTTAGTTTTTTTCATTACTTTGTTCTCTTTCTTTTTCTTAGGTTATCAGTTCTTTTCCAACACTTAATGAGTTTCGTCATCAAAACATATCTATCTTCTCCTATAACATTTTGACTCAACGAGGTTTGGAAAAATGTAACCCTTCTGTCTTTTCAACTTGTTTTCTGTCTTTTTTTGTCTGATATTCCTCCTGTCAACTTTCAGTGAAATTTTTCCAAACTTGAACTTTGCTATAACAAGCAACTATGATTTTTCATACATGGTAAGGAAGTTGATATTACATATCCATATTTATCCTCATTATGAAACAATGACATATCTCTCTTTTACATTAACGGGCGCAGATCGTCTCCAGTGGTACTTTTGCTCTTGTCTTTTACCTTCCATTCATTTGATGCCTCTCAATCGTAAAATGGTGTTTTATAGAAAAGATTTTTATTTTTGTCTTACGTCCTTGTTGTGGTTAAGGTGTTTTTATGGATGATGTTTTCTCTTAGTGACGAGTTTACAGTGTTGTCACATTGAAACATCAATAGCTGGACACGGAAGCGAGACGTTCTATCTTGTCACGTTATACTAACATTAGACTCATCAGTTCTCAATACTGCTTTTAGGTGAAACAAATGCATATAGCAAAATAAATTAATATTACACTAAAGGCTCTATATGTTGAAGTAGGCCAACAAACCATAGGTCAATGATGAGATAGTCAACAATAAGGTGTTAAGAAAATAGCGGAGATATAGGATCTAGCTTGAGTCCCTTAATGATTTTGGAATGTTCCCCGTGGGATAGAATGTTGGTTGCTTTGAGAGCTTTGACAAGACATGGTCAATGGTAGTTAATCATAGACAAGGTTTTTTTCGTGTTTAGCGAAATGATTCTCTCTCAATACTTTACATCAGAATATTATTTAAATTCGCAAATAAGACAATCCATCCTATCTGTTAGAGTAACACAACAAGAAACAAAATATAACAAGAAATTGTTGCTAAAATCTCAAGTCAACTTCGAGTACAAATTTAGCATTAGATTCAGTATGCCAACACTACATTAACTGGCATCACATCAGTACTTTGATTCTTAATGGAAATATTAACATCTATGAAGCCCCCAAAAGAAAACAGAAATAGTCAGAAGAAACGCCAATCTAACTAGATATGTAAAACCTGTAACAAACAGACCAATATTGAATTATTTTTCTAAGATATGCTACATTTCAAATCAATAAAAACGTGCTGTATGCTCTTGCTACATAGTCAACCTAAAACAAGCAGTTCGATTCACCATACAGTTTCTCTGCTTCGATATTGAACTGCCACTAGGAACACAAATAAAATTTAGAATAGGTTGATATTGGACATGAAAATACTTAATGAATAGCAACATCAACCAAATTGGACGTTAATTGATCGGAAAAGCAATATTCATGGGTGGTGTGTTACTGTCCTGCATGAGTTGTTAATAAAAGATCGGAAATGAAAACCAGCAGGCACATGTAAATATCTAGTACCTTTGTGTGTATCGTAATCATATCTAATCCGCCCTGTAGAGTCTGTTTTCTTTAATTGAGTTGGCACTAAGCATGATAATCGATATAATACAGTCATCAGTGACAACACAAAGGTCAAAGGCAAATTAATTATATTTTTGTTTTTAACGTTAATATCTATACATAATAAAACATGGTAAAACGTTATAGTGTAGTCATCGGTACACCAGTCTCATCACAAGCAAAAGCATAAAAAAATTTTGTTCTAACTCCATCATCAGTAAAATATCTTTAATAATCGTCCCATGTTTACCAAAGAAGTCCTTTAAAAAACTTAAATGTAGAAACAAAATGACACCATACCCTACGCAGCATATAGGGAATTTAAAATCTAGTTACATTTAAAACCTAATTAAAAAATCTACTATCGATCGTACCAAAATGATAAACATCCGATATAACTGTTGTGTTTTCACGGGAAGTATCAAACCTTGTTCATTTTCATATAAAGTTGACAGGAAAATACACAATTATTATTTGGCTTAACTGTGTCTAAATCTTGAATTGAAATATCAATATTTACCTGTGTGTCTCTTGACCTACAAATGAAGTTTTAAATGACAAAATAATATTTTACAAGAACATAAAAGTAAAGAATTAAAACGAAATGCCCGTTGCAACAAATGTAAAACCGGGCTGCACATAATTGTGTACAATTAACAATTAACCTAATAAAAGAAGCGATTTAAAGTAAGTAGCACTGTTCATTTGGAACTGTTTGTTTGCGTGCTGAACCTAGAGAAAGGCACAAAAGTAGGTCGCGCGTAGGTAGACAAGTGGCATTTCTACTGCTAAAATTAAAATGATCTTTCGTATTGTCCTTTCCTGCTCGTAATCATAGGCGAGTACGTGTCTATATAGGGGAGCACAGTAAACCAATTTCTCTTTACTCTGATCAACAAGCCTGTCTATTCTGAAGTTTAATAAGTCATATTGATGATCTCGCAAAGTAAATAAGCGTTAAGAAAAACAAAAAAAAAATTGTCATAAAATCTTATTTGTGTACGCTAACAGAACAATATACGATAATTTACAGATGATGTTTTTTAAACTATAAAGTTTAAATTGCTAATGTTAAAAATACAATAAACATATTTTATCCTAATGTATAGGACCTATAACTATAAACCCCATGGACATGTCATATAGTGATAAAGTTAAAAACAAAACAAACAAAAAAGATGTGTTTATTCTTTTTATTATCATCACGTGTTTCCGTGGTTCCATTGAAGCATTATGTACTTTCACAATATGATGTTACGAAAAGAACGCCATGTACATTGTACACATCTAACTGTTTTTATTGTATTAAATGTGGCATGCATCCTGCAACTCAGGTAGCGTTGTGATAACTAAACCAAATGAATGAGACTTATTACGGTTGTCTCTTGCAGAGAGACGTTATTGTCATATAGTCTAGTATATGAAAATTAATAAAATAAAAATTAAAAAAGAAATGAATCTTGGAATAAAATTGCCTTATTGTTTGCACAATATGAAAATATGACAATGTATGGTCGATATAATTGTAGAATATTAACGATTTAATGACACAGTGGCGTTGATGTACTATCGTACATAACAAAAATTCAAGCCGAAGAATCCTATCCCATTATTATACTAAAAGAGATATTTTGAAGACTTAAACATTTTCTCTCACCCTTACAATAGAGTGATGCCTACTACACACATAAACCCGGATGAATACCAATTTCTCCAGTTGGCTAAAATTTATGTCAACTCAGGCTCATATTATGAAACAAAATATGTTTGTTGTTTTAGTAAAGACCATCGAGGTTTGAAGTACTCCGTACCTCGATCCTTACGATTCCTTATAATACAAAATATGTTTGTTGTATTAGTAAGGGCCATTGAGGTTGGAAGCACTCCTTATCTAGATCCACATTACGATTCCTTACCATACAAATATGACACGACTAGGTAAGCTGCCAAAACACTGAACCAGGCCTAATTGTTGCTCTTAACGTAGCCGTCTGCAAATATACCAACTGTCGCGATTATGTTTGTCAGCAAGAAAAACCAGAAACAGAAAAAATCTATTGCGGCAGTCACATCCGGCCAGATCATTTCCTCGACCATCTCAGGTTCTTCGAGCACTGTCCTTATCGGAGGTTTCCCACTGTCTACTGCCGTTGCACTTTCCATTTGGTCTTCTTCATTTGAGAAACTCGACTTAAATTTCTTTGTTTTTGGATAAATCTTCTTTGACCTTACGCATCGCAGCATTTTACTTAGATAAACCATATTTTTGGCGATCCGAGGTATTTCACGAGAATTATCACGGTAGTGAATTCTGAGTTCCAATGTAGTTATGCATACTATAGCTGTACCCAAACACAGAAGTGATATAAGGTACATACTCAACAACGACATAGAAGAACTAACCGGAAGTGACGCACTTACGATTGTTAGAAAAACAGCAAATGCAAGATACACTGTCATGATGTAGCCCATCTTTTCACCACAATCGACCGGAAGAGTAAAGACAAATACAGAAAGCAATGACAACATAACGATTGGCAGAACAACGTTGTTGAGAATATATTGAGGTTTCCTCTTTACTGTAATTGAAAACGTCACAATAGCTCCATCTAATAATGACTCTGTAGATTTGGCAGATGTTGCTTGGATGTCCCACTCACCATTCGGTTGGTAAAAATCAAGTAGAATACCCCTACTCCCTAACTCGACATCAATTTCACTCAATGGACTCGTCCAAACTCCAAATTTTATATCGCACGTTTGTTTATCAAAAGGGAAATAAAGAATATCGATAGAACATTTGGTCTCAAATACATCGTATGGTCGCCACTCAACTTCCCCATCGTGTTGGATTTTTGTCAGCAAAAAGTCGTCACCAAGTTCGGTTACTTTTGTAAACCCATTATCCAATGCTATGTCTGGCTTCCATATATTTTTCTGTGGGATGTATATAGTTTCGGTGCCGTTGTAATCTGACGGCGTCCATGTCATGTATTCATCAATCCAATACAGCTCTAAAACTGCCGTGGACGTCATTTTTTCTTGTACCTCATCGATATCAGTTATTCCTACCAGATATAGATTTACATACAAAAAACATGCACGAGATTGATCCGCAGTAGGACGTACCATTTTGTTGTACGAGTTGACAGTAAAGATGTTTGTAAGCAGGCTCTTTACATTATCGTGTGTGTATGATGTAACAGGACGTTGGAGTGTAGCCAACACACAAAGTAAGAATGCCACCAAATTGCGATTCATATTGTTTTCAAATCCTACGAACTGCTATCGAACAAGAATAGTCAGATCTTCTGATGAAGGCTCCTCTGTCGCTCGGGACACAATTTAGAATTGTATCTTTTAGAGTGCGTAAATGTATACAGAATTTTTTTTATATAAATTGAATTAAAAAAATCCAGCTCTTCAGTAATCCATTCTAAATCTAAGTCAGCTGATTTATCTCATGTCAGTTCTATGTTAGAGTACATCTCCACGCTAACTAACACAAGGGGCTATTCAGCACACAGAACTTGGTGGAAAAGCCATTACACCGCCACACAATGGTAGTGAAATGTTAGCACAAGTGATTGGCTCCAATCCTTGACGAAAAAAAGCCTTCATTCTCCTCCACGTCAACAAGACTATCACTTAACTGCGTATGATATATGTTTCACGTGTCTTTTCATAACGCCGATTTTGAAATACTTGAACCAATAAACACTCCGTCTGTCGCTCAATAACGATAAGACATACTTACAACTGAACCATATAATTATTGTGGTATAGGCCAGGATCCTATTTACGGCGAGGAAGGTCTTCACAATAGCTGTTGATTTTGATATTCTAGTCACTGATCTCATTCGTAAACAGTTCATTATCCGAGGATATTTAACAAAGATTGTATTATCAAAGTTTTGGCAGTGAGGAAAAAATAAGAGCAAGGGTAGTGTTCGCATGAATAATCTTTCGTCCTGTCTACAAACCTAAACTATACAAATAATTATAACACAAAGGGTTATGTTAATGCCCTTCTAGATCAATATCAGCGGCGCAATCTTTAAAATTATAAAAAAGGAAAATATGAACATGAGACAAATTAGACATTCGTGGTACCTATATATGACTGAATTATGCTGATAAAATGTGAAAAGGCGTTTATCTTGAAAATTCTGTTCATCCTGACTGCCTATAGCTTTGCTGTGCTGCATGTTGGAGTGCGAACAAGGCAAGTGTGAACTCACATTTTTCAACCTTAAACAATAAATCACTTATCTATTGTGTAAATCAGTTCTGTGCAAAAGTTTATAATGCGTATGAAAGTGTCTTGTACAATTTATAAAAATGTTGTGTCTTATGACCCATACAAATTCATCGGCTTAGAATAAATATTTTCAAACTGGGGACTTGAAGCTAAAATCTCTTTTATCAACACGTGACAGTCCGTCCCTATTATATCGTATTTGTGGAATGAGTTTATAAAGTGACTGTAAATGCCACATATTGTAGCCACTGAATCGTGACAGGTGAATTAAAAGGGTGTTTGGTGTTTACCAATATCAAATGGATACTCCAACTGTTCGTGCGTAACTTTATACGTATGAATATAACGGACATTTTTATGAAATGAAATATAAATTACAATATTTATGAACTGTCGCCATTTATTTCGTATAAAAATGTGTCAAAAACATCAACCTCTTATTCACCTGGTCCCGTATCCATACAACCATTTTTATGATAATCACGACATCTTTTATCAACATTCGTTAAACTCTCTAAACACATGAATTAGCAGGTTAAAAGAAAAAAATATAAAGATTGAAAATAAGATAACACTTGATGTCTTTCTGTAATATTTCTCAAGTTGTTGAAAAAATATTGTTTTTGATCAAAGATTTCATCACCAAAAGTATTTGTGCCTGGACACAAAATGTGTACATAGGGTCGAGTTCGGTTCATGAAAACGATCGTACTTATTTTTTGTATTTTGTACAGGTCCACCATTTTTTCTTTTAGTCATATTTTCTCTCATCTCATCAATCTAGAGATAGAGATTGTCGTATTAATGTTAAATTAACATATCGATATTTTTTCCTCCAACATCGTTATTTATTCTCGTCATTTCGATCAAAGCAAAAACAGTAAACACAAAACGGCGATAGATAAGTGACTAGACGGAGTTTATGCTAATTCTAGGGCTGAGTACACCTGAACTCAAATTTCAAGTCTCATCTTGTATATTCTCTAACGAGTGAACAATTGTATACAATATCTGTTTTAAAATTTGATTATCATTGTAATCGGGTTGATCTAAAGTCTGTGTATATTAACACCAACACTAGAGGAACTTTAATGGAAACTCGTTTCACACCTATTGTTGATACTGGATGCGGGTAAGATACCAATTAAAGTTTTGTAGAGAATTTCAATTATATAAATAGATTTTGGAGCATTTTCTTCAGGTTGGTAATGTCAATAGAATAAAGGTTCTTTTAACACAACCAGTAGAAGATCTGAGTGTGACGTTTCGACGACTACACTGTCACCTTCATCTTATAACACAACCAGTAGAAAATTAGAGTGTGACGTTTTGATGACTACACGGTCACCTTCATCTTAAAACACAACCAGTAGAAAATTAGAGTGTGACGTTTTGATGACTACACGGTCACCTTCATCTTATAACACAACCAGTAGAAAATTAGAGTGTGACGTTTCGACGACTACACTGTCACCTTCATCTTATAACACGACCAGTAGAAAATTAGAGTGTGACGTTTCGACGACTACACTGTCACCTTCATCTTATAACACAACCAGTAGAAAATTAGAGTGTGACGTTTTGATGACTACACGGTCACCTTCATCTTATAACACAATCAGTAAAAGATCTGAGTGCGACGTTTCGATGACTACACTCTCACCTTCATCTTATAACACAACCAGTAGAAAATTAGAGTGTGACGTTTTGATGACTACACGGTCACCTTCATCTTAAAACACAACCAGTAGAAAATTAGAGTGTGACGTTTTGATGACTACACGGTCACCTTCATCTTATAACACAATCAGTAAAAGATCTGAGTGCGACGTTTCGATGACTACACTCTTACCTTCATCTTATAACACAACCAGTAGAAAATTAGAGTGTGACGTTTTGATGACTACACGGTCACCTTCATCTTATAACACAATCAATAAAAGATCTGAGTGCGACGTTTCGATGACTACACTCTCACCTTCATCTTATAACACAACATGACTACACGGTCACCTTCATCTTATAACACAATCAGTAAAAGATCTGAGTGCGACGTTTCGATGACTACACTCTCACCTTCAACTTATGTAACACAACCAGTAGAAGATTAGAGTGTGACGTTTCGATGACTACACGATCACCTTCGCCTAATAACACAATCAGTAGAAGATTTGAGTGTGATTTTCGATGACTACATGGTCACCTTCATCTTATGTAACACAACTAGTAGAAGATCTAAGAGTGACGTTTCGAATACTACATGGTCACCTTCATTTTATATAACACAACTAGTAGAAGATCTAAGAGTGACGTTTCGATGACTACACGGTCACCTTTTATAGCTTGATGGAACGTTATTAGATTGGCTCCATGCAATAACACGACGGTTCGTAATCATATACACCTATTTTCGTACCAGTTAATTGATTCTATTGTAAGTTTATATATATTTAAATATTGAACATGACGATGCTGCACAGCACCGCTGAGGTAGATATATGGGAGGATTATTTAAAGATATCGCTACACCCACTAGGATATATCCAAGTACCTCGAACGCGGCAACAACATATGCAATGTTAATTGAATTAACGACAGTAATAGGCCGGAAACCAAAATGGCCGCGAGCGATCTTTTTGTCCTTAGCTGGAACGCTCGCGGTGTGAAAAATATTCATCATTGAATTCAAATAACTATCAAATATCCATCCAAATATAGAATTAATAAAATTACTTAATGACGCAAAATTGGAAACCAGGATAGATATCAACAGAGGTAAACCTTCTCATTTTGATCTCACAGTTACCTCCCCTGAAATATCTTATATGATTGCATCATGGACCACACTCTAGGTTCTGATCATTACCCCACCTTAGCTAGATTTAATTTTAAACCAATTAGAGAAAAAAAATAAAAAATAGATAACCTCCATCCCTAAAATGGGTCGTTTATAGGGCAGCCTGGTAGACATTCCAAAATTTATCTTCAGAAATAGACACAGAAACATATCAATTATCATGGTAGACATAAAGAATACCAAAAACTTCAAGCAAACCAACAGATAGAAAACACAACCCATAAAATTCATATAAAATCGTAGAAAATAAATTTAATGGCATAAGAAATTCTGTAGATCTTTAAACAATATATCCAACACAAAAACTGTTTGAAATAAAATAAGTATTTTCAAAAAGAAAGTTGTACGTATAACCGTTCTAGAGAAGTTTTAGTAAATGATAGTTAAACAATATGAAATTAGCAATAAACTCAAAGATACAGGGAAAGAAAGTAAGTAACATTTACCTTAGATTAATACTCTCCGGCCCTTAAATCCAAACTTCATCTGAAGTCGATAACCTGCCATACACCATATTCAAACACTACCCACCAAAAGTCAACAAAGAAATTATATATCTGAATTGTAAAATCTGGACTTCTGGTTTATACCCCAAGACACGGAATAAGGTTGTAGTAATTCAAATTCTAAAACCAGACAAAGACGATAAAAGCATCTACCCTAGAAACCAAGATGAACAATCGATTAAAAAATTATATCAGTTCCAACAATCTAATTAGCAAAAATCAAAGCGGTTTCAGGATTCATAGGTCAGCTTTAGACTCATTCTTCCGAATGACATCAGAGATTGAAAACAATAGAAGTAAAAACCTTCATACTAAGACTGTCCTCCTCGACTTAGAAAAAGCTAGTGTCGTAATTTAGCACAGGGGTCTTTTAATATCACTTGAAGAAATAGGAATAACCGGAAACATGTTAGGACCCATTATACACTTTCTACAAGATCGTAAAGTTCAAGTACGAGTTAACAACACTAAGTCGGATAAATTAACACTAGACAATGGCGTCCCCCGAGGTAGTGTTTTATCACCAACACTTTTCATTATATATATATCAATAAATTGCACCTCTTTTTTTAAGAAAAAAGTACAAAAAAAGATAAAAATAGCTACCATAGGTCAGTTTTCGGATGACACAAACATTTGACATTGTAACGCAAATATTCAACCGCAAATGTCATACAAAACACATTAGACACTAACCAGGAATGTGCTGACCAATGGAGGTTTAAAATTTCAAAAGACAAAACAGTAGCCATGTCCTTTTCGAGAAAAGAGAGATGTCAAGAAATATACCTAGGTGAAAATGAAATTATGTTTGTTAAAGAAACTTAGGTATGATCATTGATAGAAAATTGAAAGAGAATCCACACATCAAAATTATAAAAAGAACGCTGCGAAAATGCACTTAACATATAAACATACGTCTCCGGAAATAAATTAGATACAAACAAACTAACCCTATTGACTCTCTATAAAGCACTCATTAGATCTTAAATGGACTGTTGTTGTCAGGTTTTCCATTCGGTCTCTGATAATGCACTAAAAATGTCAGGTATTATTTAGCGTAAAGCAATAGAAATACTTTAGTCGCTTCGAAAACCACCGCTTCAATAAGCATTTTAGCTTAAACCGACGAATTGCCATTAAAATTAAGAAGGAAAAAGGTTCATACTTCGATATTGGGCAAGAACACAAACACTTGGACCCGATATTCCACCTAATAAAATTGTTTCTGAAGTCAAAGACATTAAATACCGAGACAAACAAAAACCGCCACATAACTTTGTAACAAACCAACATCTCGTTGAACTCAATTTAGAGCAAGTTAAAATTGAAAAAAAAAAACATATTCAACTCTGCCCTGAAAATGGGACACTCCCGATATTAGTATAGAAATCTTAGGCAAAACCAACAAAAAGGAAAATCCGGCAGAAACTAGGGCAATAGCATTAGCTAGGATTGACGAGAAAAAATAACGATCATATTAAATATTTTACTGACGGATCAAACAATCCACAAACGAGTAGTGTAGGGTTAGGTATTTATTCCGGAGAAAACAACATCGCTTGTCACTCAGACTGACAGGTCAGTGCTCAAGTGATACCATTGAAATCATTGTTATAGAGTTAACACTTTGCCTTATTAACATCCACAAGTCCATAAATAGAACAGTAATTATCATAGGTATTCTCTCTTTCTTACAATCAACACAGATTAGAAAAAAACGAAGGAACTAATGTAATTAACTCCATATCTTAAAACCTAAAACAACGGGGAATTTTGGTAAATTTTGAGTATGTACAATTACTTGTTTATATACATGGAAATGAAAAGGCTGATGATCTCATCAAAATAGCTCTTCGGAAAAACACAATAGAATGTAAGGTGAAATTACAGAAAGACAGAAGTATGTTATATTATCAATCAATAAATTAATAATAAATGGTCGGAAACATGGAAAATTTTGGAAAGATCTGACAACCCAAGGTAAATTATAGATTAACCAAATACTAAATCAATAGCTTTAGGACGAAATAAATTAGACGATATCATCATCACAAGACTAAGATCAGGAACCATGAATTTAAAAAGTAACATCAGTATAATGGTCACAGATATCTCTCCAGACTGCACGCATTGTAAAACAGAAGAGACAGAAGATCATATATCTATACTGCAATATATTTGATCAGGATATTTAAATTTAAATTTAAAAGATTAAAAACCCAGTAAACATCCATCAACCAGGTATTAAGGTCACTTGAAAATGAAAGACTAATGAATAGACGGCTTGTAGAATTCCTAAGAAAAATCGACTACTTGGACAAAATATAAACGGTTAAAGTCGAAGGGAGACAACTCCCAAACATCGGAAATCTACACAACACTTAACACAACAGGTAGGATTCCCGGGATATCTAGGGGGGACTGTATCAAAGAAATTACAACTCTCATTCACTGGTGCATACTGAAATCTCATAAAGTATGTGGTGTCCTTCTTCTGTGCCTCATGCCCAGCTTTCAGATTTATGAAATAATCTGAAACAGTGCAAAAAATAAAACAGCACACAGAAGTAAGCATGCCCCTTCAAGTATGTGTTAAAACAAACGACTAAAAATGAAGAAAATACACAAACCAACTCCACATTTAAGACTCTACTTCCAGTATGGGTACAACGGACATGGCTTGGTTTACAGTCGGATTGGGGTCTTGTACCCTAGCTCTTAATATACGGAACCCTGTTTGTTCGGGCACTGGGGATGAACACTGGCTATGAGGTCTAAAACTCGAAATCTGAAATCTCACACAATTAAACTTAACACACAACCATACATACAACCCTAAACGGAACCGTACGTACAACACAACACAACACACAAACAGACATACAACACAACACACAAACATACATACAACACAACACACAAACATACATACAACACAACACAACACACAAACATACCTACAACACAACACACAAACATACCTTCACTACAACACACAAACATACCTACAACACAACACACAAACAGATCTACAACACAACACAACACACAAACATACTTACAACACAACACACAAACATACCTAAAACACAACACACAAACATACCTACAACACAACACACAAACATACCTACAACACAACACACAAACATACCTACAACACAACACACAAACATACCTACAACACAACACACAAACATACATACAATACAACACACAAACATACATACACTACAACACAACACACAAACATATATACACTACAACACAACACACAAACATACCTACAACATAACACACAAACATACCTACAACACAACACACAAACATACATACACTACAACACAACACACAAACATACATACACTACAACACAACACACAAACATACCCACACTACAACACACAAACATACCTACAACACAACACATGAACATATCTACAACACAACACAACACACAAACATACTTACAACATAACACACAAACATACCTACAACACAACACAACACACAAACATACCTACAACACAACACACAAACATACCTACAACACAACACAAACGCAACACACAAACATATATACAATACATCACAACACACAAACATACATACAATACATCACAACACACAAACATACCTACAACACAACACAACACACAAACATACCTACAACACAACGCACAAACATACAATACAACACAACGCACAAACATACATACAATACAACACAGCACACAAACATATATACAATACATCACAACACACAAACATACATACAATACAACGCAACACACAAACATACCTACAATACAGCGCAACACACAAACATACCTACAACACAACACACAAACATACCTACAACACAACACACACCATACATACAACACAACGCAACACACACCATACATACAACACAACGCAACACACACCATACATACAACACAACACACAAACACACATACAATACAACACAACACACAAACACACACATAATACAACACAACACACAAACATACATACAATACAACACACAAACACATATACAATACAACACAACACACAAACATACATAAAATACAAGACAACACGCAAATATACATACAATACAACACATAATCATACAAACGAAATAAACACTTTACAAGACATACATCATGACACCAATATGCTTAATTTCATACGTGCATGATATAATTGCCAATTGAACTTTTCTCGTATTCATACTCAAAAGCACTTGTGTTAGTTGTGATGGGGACTAGGTTAGGCTTTATCAGCAGTTTCAGCACAGTTACATGTGCACCAGGAATTTTAATCCTGAGCTGTAATGACAGAGCACCGTTATAGAAATAACCCAAAAGTACGTCGGTAAATGATCATTTTTACCACTATATGTGAAATATAGCTATCGTGAAAGTATAGAGGTCTTTTTATTTCAGTAGTGCCATAGTTTTATTTCACATATATCGCGGTATGTCTTCATATCCTTATGGCAAATTCTCCTCACTTACAAAGTGCCCAGTGAAGAGAGGGGATCACTGGTGTATGTATGGGCTATTTGAGATTTTCTACAGAAGTAATCAGGTTGTTTGATAAGTTAAGACAAAGACATCAATATTAAACAGCTGTTTATTACGTAGGTCCACAGCAATTTTGATAAAGTTCATGATAAAGGATATCTAATACGTGTACAATCACTTAGAAATTCATTTGAATAAGAGGGTCACTTCCTTATTGTTAGAAACGCGGTGAAGTACCTCCAGTCATGGAATTTGATCTCAGAAGTTTCATTAGAATCGGCCTGCTAGCAGTGCATCATCTGCATATGTTGTATATTTAAGTAATACTGTTCACAATGAATTTTTTTTTAATATTCATCTTTTTTACGCAGATCAATGTCATTTATCAACAAAATATACTTCCTGAACATAAAAGACGCCACTGCAAAGCTTTACAGACATTGGACATCATGGAATATGCTTTGCCCATGATTCGACGTATCCTCAAGGAAGATTCTGAAAAAATCCGGCAAGAATATGAGCAAGTATTCACGTCACTGAAAGGTAAATTGGAATCATTTTCTGCTATTTTCATTCATCTCCTTGTATAAAGATACTTAATTTTCATTTTTGGTTTTGTTCATGTAAAAACGGACGGAAAACATGGGCACGAAATAACTGACAGATGATGAAATTTCTTTATACCTTTCGATTGTAATTAATGTATAAAAATCAATAGTGATCGGATGGAAGAATATAGCACATTTTGATTATAAATTTCCACGTATCGATTGAATATGTATGAGTATCATACCGTTTAAATGTTGTTGTTTTTTCGCGTCCATTTAATTTTCGCTTTATTCGCTATAATTTTCTAACGCGAAAAATGAACTCGCTAAATATTCATGAAGGAACGACAAGCGAGAGATATCTCCCTTCATACAATTCTTATCGGTAAACAGTTCCATATAACGATCAAAACCTTGTCTACACAAGTTTGCCATTCAATTGACTAAGTTCAATCAACCATGACATTAAGTAACACTACCTATTTTATAAATATGTTCTCCGGCATATTGTTTTGAGACAGTTTGAAGTTCACTTCATCTCGGTGTCGAAAGACAAAAATACACGGGATCGTCCAGAATTTAGAATACTGTGCGTGTCTTAATCTGTCCTGATGAACGGAAGTGCACGTATCAAGATAATATTTTGCACTAATTTATAACAGGTGGGCTAATTTCCAGCTGAACTTAATGTTGTGTGTAACATAGAAGTTCATCGCCTTTTTACTGAAGGTGTTATTACATTCACTTGTACGGAGCCCAGGGCGTGACATCATGATGATTAGTGCATTTTTATTTATTTATTCTGAAGACTGAGTGTTCAATACTGATATTTAGTGTCTCTTCATTTTTTTTCTTTTTCTTTTAAACTTTCTTGAACACTGTATACTTCTGGGATAAAGATTATACAAAAAAGGTGGCACCACAGCAACTTTAAACCATCCCATGAGATTACACCACGGGTGTAAATTCATGATATTATGGTTTTTGCAGCTAAAGTCCTGTTCATTTAGCGGTCAGAACGATTCGTTCAAACATGCATCTATGTACTGAAAGCATATGGCTTAACTGATGATGGTGACTATTGCAAATACAGATTTTGCATTTTATTGCAATTGTCCATTATATTCGACAACAAACTTTTAGGTATGTCCACATTTCATAAACCCAGGTTTAACAGGCAAAATCAAATGGCATTCAACGTGAGGCTACGTATACTGTACCAAAAATGGAACGCTACCCAACATTTTATCTTGCAATACGGGGGGACACAACGTTGTCCGACGGAAATAGACATACATTAAAAGTTAGCTGCAGTTTGCTCTTGGTGTGGGAATAACTAACATAGGATTTGATTTGGTGTCCGAGTGTCCCTCACGGTGTAAAGCTACACCAGAGACATTTCTGCTTACGCTTTCATTGAATATGGTGTTAAGTAATCACTCCTTACGGTGTTAGGTAACACATCTAAATGTATTTTTTTCTAAAGGCTTAACATGTAAAGTAACACTTCTCAGAGACGATTTGGTGTAAAGACAGTCCCGCGCGGCCGTAAGATAACACCTCTCGGTGACGATTTGGTGTAACGTCGCTCCACACGGTGTAAGGTGACAGGTTTCAGTACTGATTTGGTGTAAAAGTCATTCCCTTGCGGTGTAAAGTAACACTTTTAAGTGAAAATTTGGTGTAATGCTGCACCCGTGTGGTGTAAGATAACATTAAAGCTATCGATTTGGTGTAAAGTCACCCCCTTACGGTGTAAGGTAACACTTTTAGGAGAGATTCTGGTGTAAAGTCACCCCCTTACGGTGTAAAGTAACACTTTTAGGTGAGATTCTGGTGTAAAGTCACCCCCTTACGGTGTAAAGTAAAAGTTTTAAGTGAGATTCTGGTGTAAAGTCACCCCCTTACGGTGTAAAGTAACACTTTTAGGTGAGATTCTGGTGTAAAGTCACCCCCTTACGGTGTAAGATAACGCATTTACACCGATTTAGGATTGAAGTAACGCCAAATGTCGGTATACTATACACTTTTCTTTGTTGTGATTTACTTTACCTCAGAAATGGTGTACCATCAATTGTAGGTGGTTTTACCTTCTGATGTCCTGTCTTCCTGCCGTTATTTAGTGATCATTCGTGTCTTTATATTGTAGGCGGGTTTCTTTTCACCTGTCCTGAAGGCTGGTTGTACCATGACGATAACTGTTACCTTTTCACAACAACAAAGACCACGTGGCAGGCTGCGAGGGTAAATTTAAAACTTTACCTAAAAAGATGTAGAAAGAATATTTGAAGATGTGTGTTGAAATACAAAAGTTCCTGGAAGTCTCCAGTCTATGAACATACCGTCTGAGAGGAGATATAACTTATACAAATATATATATCCTTGTGATGACGTGTTTTGATTACGTAATACTTTTTCACAAATTTACATTTCATACGTTATGTAAGTAATGTCAGATTTAAAAGGGTTTCTACGTGTTATGATGGCAAGTTTTCTACAAATAAAGAAAAAAATCACATTCATGTACGACAGAACTAACAGCATATCCCAAAATACACATTAACCGACATCTTGGCGACTGGGTTAAAAAGACCGGAAAGTATGACGTAAATTTAGTACTTATTTCTGGTTCAAATATCCGGAACATTCTACATCAGAATAATTGTGTACGAAATAAAATCATCTATAGTGGCTATATCACATCATATATTAGTATAACTGTTTCAAACTATCGTAATTGTCTTCAGCTAATCTTATTGTATCATCTTAATCTATAGTCGGTATATATATATATGTATATATATATGTCTTATGAGGTATTTTTAACTTATCTAAACAAGGAAAACTGCCTATCCCTGAACGCGGACCTTGCGGAGATCATAAATGAGCGAGATAGTTACTTCGTCAAATCGGAACTGCAGAGAATCTACAATCAAGGTTTGTGATCAAACATTTCTATTCCAATTTACTCAAGAGGGAGAGTAACTTTCTCTGTTTTGTTGGTGAATTGATATAGTGCTTTTAAACAAGTGTTCTTTTATCATTATAACTTTTACGGTTTTATTTATCAATATTTTTAATATGCCAACAAAATATTGATATATTTTCATTAAACGTATGCAAAATGTAACAATTATGTCAGTATTACTACTATTATACCCAATATCAACAACTGTGTCAGTATTACTACTATTATACCCAATATCAACAACTGTGTCAGTGTTATTACTATTATACCCAGAATCAACAACTGTGTCAGTGTTATTACTATTATACCCAATATCAACAACTGTGTCAGTGTTACTACTATTATACCCAATATCAACAACTGTGTCAGTATTATTACTATTATACCCAATATCAACAACTGTGTCAGTGTTATTACTATTATACCCAGAATCAACAACTGCGTCAGTGTTATTACTATTATACCCAATATCAACAACTGTGTCAGTGTTACTACTATTATACCCAATATCAACAACTGTGTCAGTGTTACTACTATTATACCCAGAATCAACAACTGTGTCAGTGTTATTACTATTATACCCAGAATCAACAACTATGTCAGTGTTATTACTATTATACCCAATATCAACAACTGTGTCAGTGTTATTACTATTATACCCAGAATCAACAACTATGTCAGTGTTATTACTATTATACCCAGAATCAACAACTATGTCAGTGTTATTACTATTATACCCAATAACAACAACTGTGTCAGTGTTATTACTATTATAACCAGAATCAACAACTGTGTCAGTGTTATTACTATTATACCCAATATCAACAACTGTGTCAGTGTTATTACTATTATACCCAGAATCAACAACTGTGTCAGTGTTATTACTATTATACCCAATATCAACAACTGTGTCAGTGTTATTACTATTATACCCAGAATCAACAACTGTGTCAGTATTACTACTATTATACCCAGAATCAACAACTGTGTCAGTGTTATTACTATTATACCCAATATCAACAACTGTGTCAGTGTTATTACTATTATACCCAGAATCAACAACTGTGTCAGTGTTATTACTATTATACCCAGAATCAACAACTGTGTCAGTGTTATTACTATTATACCCAGAATCAACAACTGTGTCAGTGTTATTACTATTATACCCAGAATCAACAACTGTGTCAGTGTTATTACTATTATACCCAGAATCAACAACTGTGTCAGTGTTATTACTATTATACCCAGAATCAACAACTGTGTCAGTGTTATTACTATTATACCCAGAATCAACAACTGTGTCAGTATTACTACTATTATACCCAGAATCAACAACTGTGTCAGTGTTATTACTATTATAACCAGAATCAACAACTGTGTCAGTGTTATTACTATTATACCCAGAATCAACAACTGTGTCAGTGTTATTACTATTATACCCAGAATCAACAACTGTGTCAGTGTTATTACTATTATACCCAGAATCAACAACTGTGTCAGTGTTATTACTATTATAACCAGAATCAACAACTGTGTCAGTGTTATTACTATTATACCCAGAATCAACAACTGTGTCAGTGTTATTACTATTATACCCAGAATCAACAACTGTGTCAGTGTTATTACTATTATACCCAATATCAACAACTGTGTCAGTGTTATTACTATTATACCCAATATCAACAACTGTGTCAGTGTTACTACTATTATACCCAATATCAACAACTGTGTCAGTGTTATTACTATTATACCCAGAATCAACAACTGTGTCAGTGTTATTACTATTATACCCAATATCAACAACTGTGTCAGTGTTATTACTATTATACCCAGAATCAACAACTATGTCAGTGTTATTACTATTATACCCAGAATCAACAACTGTGTCAGTGTTATTACTATTATACCCAGAATCAACAACTGTGTCAGTGTTATTACTATTATACCCAATATCAACAACTGTGTCAGTGTTATTACTATTATACCCAGAATCAACAACTGTGTCAGTGTTATTACTATTATACCCAGAATCAACAACTGTGTCAGTGTTATTACTATTATACCCAGAATCAACAACTGTGTCAGTGTTATTACTATTATACCCAGAATCAACAACTGTGTCAGTGTTATTACTATTATACCCAATATAAACAACTGTGTCAGTGTTGTTACTGTTGCTCCTCAGTGTGTATGCCTATGTCACCTTTGACTATTTGACAACTTTTGGTATTTGTAGAGGGCGTGCCGAAGTACAGTTTTTACAATCTAGGCGGCACGGATAAAGCAAATGAGGGAGAGTGGATCTGGATAAGGACAGGAGAGAGGATTAGATTTACAAACTGGGCTTCAGGGGAACCGAACAATGTTGGTCGACAAGAACACTACCTGACGGTAGGAGGAACACGCCATAAATGGAACGATATAAATCACTCTGGAAAATGTCGTGCAATATGTCAAAAGAGGTAAGTGGTTTGATATACTAACAAAGAAACTGATGTAATTCAAATAACTCGACCCATCGCATAATTTTATACATATGATAATGAGAAATGACGTTCACATCGACATTGTATTTAGACCATTGAAAATTATGGCGAGTGAGGTATGGAAACGTGAAGGTTTAACCGCACTGTGAAGAAAATTATCATGAAATGTCTGGGCAAATATCCGGCAAAATATCGGAGAAATGGCAGGCAAAGGGCAGGGGAATGTCACGCACGATGTCAGGCAAAATGTCAGGCAAAATGGCAGGCAAAATGTCACGCACGATTTCAGGCAAAATGTCAGGCAAAATGTCAGGCACGATGTCAGGCAAAATGTCAGGCACGATGTCGGGCAAAATGTCACGCACGATGTCAGGCAAAATGTCAGGCAAAATGTCACGCACGATGTCAGGCAAAATGTCATGCACGATGTCAGGCAAAATGGCAGGCAAAATGTCACACACGATGTCAGGCAAAATGTCACGCACGATGTCAGGCAAAATGTCACGCACGATGTCAGGCAAAATGTCACGCACTATGTCAGGCAAAATGGCAGGCAAAATGTCACGCACGATTTCAGGCAAAATGTCAGGCAAAATGTCAGGCACGATGTCAGGCAAAATGTCAGGCACGATGTCAGGCAAAATGTCAGGCACGATGTCAGGCAAAATGTCACGCACTATGTCATGCACGATGTCAGGCAAAATGGCAGGCAAAATGTCACACACGATGTCAGGCAAAATGTCACGCACGATGTCAGGCAAAATGTCACGCACGATGTCAGGCAAAATGTCACACACGATGTCAGGCAAAATGTCACGCACGATGTCAGGCAAAATGTCACGCACGATGTCAGGCAAAATGTCACGCACGATGTCAGGCAAAATGGCAGGCAAAATGTCACGCACGATGTCAGGCAAAATGGCAGGCAAAATGTCACGCACGATGTCAGGCAAAATGTCACGCACGATGTCAGACAGAATGTCACGCACAATGTCAGGCAAAATGGCAGGCAAAATGTCACGAACGATGCCAGGCAAAATGTTGATGTTCCCCGCATTGTCATAAACACCTGAAATCGTGTGTATAACGTTTCCCCGTTTTTAATTTTTTTTTCAATATTGTAGGGAAATCCACATACGTATGAGTAAGGTTACAATCCCATCTTTTTTCAAAGATAGCACTTCGTGTTTTGTAACACCAGACGATATGTACTAGTTATAAATTGCTTTATGCCAGACTGTTCTACCAACGGGTGGTCAATGTGGCGACTGTTTGTTTAGAATCAATGTTCTAACTAATCATTAAGCTTTAGTCCATTATCGTTACACTGGAATCCAACAATGGTGTTTTTGTTGTTCCCAATCCTTTCACTTCATTTCGTGTAAAGAAGTCACCAAAACGTTAAGATTGTAACACGACGTTGTAAATGAAAATATTAAGAAAAAACAGAATCATTCTGTCATGATCTAAAACACGTCCTCCTTATCTTACTTATGTATTCAAATGTTATATTTTTCAGCGTCGGTCTGCGATCAGTTCCTTGAAGAGGAAGGTAGAAACAGTTACCAGAAAAGGGACGGGCCATACCATCAACATTTCCCAACTCATTTCTATATAGAACAAATTGATGCAATAATTGTGTATCAACATGGTCAAAACCATCTAATGTGTTGTAGAAGAGGTCTACAGATGGTGGTATGTTATAGCAAATACATCGTTCAAGCATAAGTAATTAAAGACAATACAAGAAAGTAGACAGTATTATCAACGGAGACAGGTGAATCAGCTAAAGCATGCGGAATCGAATTCATAGATAAACATATGTAATGTAGCAAGTTTAAGGCTAGACATATATAATGTAGCAAGTGTATGGCTAGACATATATAATGTAGCAAGTGTAAGGCTAGACATATATAATGGAGGAAGTGTAAGGCTAGACATATATAATGTAGGAAGTGTATGGCTAGACATATATAATGTAGCAAGTGTAAGGCTAGACATATATAATGGAGGAAGTGTAAGGCTAGACATATATAATGTAGCAAATGTAAGGCTAGACATATATAATGTAGCAAGTGTAAGGCTAGACATATATAATGGAGGAAGTGTAAGGCTAAACATATACAATGTAGCAAGTGTATGGCTAGACATATATAATGTAGCAAGTGTAAGGCTAGACATATATAATGTAGCAAGTGTAAGGCTAAACATATACAATGTAGCAAATGTAAGGCTAGACATATATAATGTAGCAAATGTAAGGCTAGACATATATAATGTAGCAAGTGTAAGGCTAGACATATATAATGTAGCAAGTGTAAGGCTAGACATATATAATGTAGCAAATATATTTTGTATTCCATACTTAATTGACAAAATCGAAATATGTAATAAACGTAATAAAATTCACATTTTGAAAATACAAACAGCGTCATCAACACCATCACCAACCCCCAAAACAACACTTCAACAAGACAAACAACGTCATCAACACCATCACCAACCACCCAAACAACACTTCAACAAGACAAACAACGTCATCAACACCATCACCAACCACTTCAACAACACTTCAACAAGCAAAAACAGCGCATCTTCACCAACACTTAAACAACACAATCAGCGTCATCAACGCTACCACTAATCACTCAAACAACACTTTAACAACACAAAAAGCGTCATCAACACCATCACCAACCACTCCAACAACACTTCAACAACACAAACAGAGTCATCAACACCATCACAAACCACTCCAACAACACTTCAACAAACACAAACCGCTTCATCAACACCATCACTAACCACTCCAACAATACTTCAACAACACAAACAGCGTCATCAACACCATCATCAACCACCGAAACAACACTTCAACAACACAAACAGCGTCATCAACACCATCATCAACCACCGAAACAACATTTCAACAAACACAAACAGTGTCATCAATACCATCGCTTTCCACCCAATCAACACTCCAACAACACAAACAGCGTCATCAAAACCATCACCAACCACTCCAACAACACTTCAACAACACAAACATCGCCATCAAAACCATCACCGACCACTCCAACAACACTTCAACAACACAAACAGCGTCATCAAAACCATCACCAACCACTCCAACAACACTTCAACAACACAAACATCGCCATCAAAACCATCACCGACCACTCCAACAACACTTCAACAACACAAACAGCGTCATTAACACCATCACCAACCCCCCAAAAACAACACTTCAACAACACAAACAGCGTCATCAAAACCATCACCAACCACTCCAACAACACTTCAACAACACAAACAGTGTCATCAATACCATCACTTTCCACCCAATCAACACTCCAACAACACAAACAGCGTCATCAAAACCATCACCAACCACTCCAACAACACTTCAACAACACAAACATCGCCATCAAAACCATCACCGACCACTCCAACAACACTTCAACAACACAAACAGCGTCATCAAAACCATCACCAACCACTCCAACAACACTTCAACAACACAAACATCGCCATCAAAACCATCACCGACCACTCCAACAACACTTCAACAACACAAACAGCGTCATTAACACCATCACCAACCCCCAAAAAACAACACTTCAACAACACAAACAGCGTCATCAGAACCATCACCAACCACTTCAACAACACTTTAACAACACAAACAGCGTCATCAACACCATCACCAACCACTTCAACAACACTTCAACAAACACAAACAGCGTCATCAACACCATCATCAACCAACCAACGAACACTTCAACAACACAAACAGCTTCATTAACACCATCATCAACCACCCAAAGAACACTTCAACAACACAAACAGTGTCATCAAAACCATCACTTACCACCCAAACAACACTTCAACAACACAAACAGCGTCATCAACACATCACCAACCACCCAAACAACACTTCAACAACACAAACAGTTTCATCAACACCATCATCAACACCCCAAACAACACTTCAACAAACACAAACAGCGTCATCAACACCATCAATTACCACTCCAACAACACTTCAACAACAGAAACCGCGTCATCAAAACCATCACCAACCACTCCAACAACACTTCAACAACACAAACAGCGTCATCAACACCATCACCAACCCCCCAAACAACACTTTAACAACACAAACAGCTTTATCCTCACCATCACTAACCACTCCTCCAGTACTTCACGTTAACAAATACAAACAACATCCTTAAAACATCGAATAAAGCTATAGTAATTCCATTTCTAAAACCCGGTTAAGACAATAAAAAATCCGGCGTCATACAGACCTATGTCCTTAACATCACACTTATGCAAAACTTTAAAAAATTCATACCATAAGTGTCCTCCTTGACTTAGAAAAAGCTAATGACGTAATTTAGCACAAGGGTCTTTTAATATCACTTGAAGAAGTAGGAATAACCGGAAACATGTTAGGACTCATTATACACTTTCTAAAAGATCGTAAAATTCAAGTATAAGTTAACAACACTAAGTCGGATGAATTAACACTAGGCAATGGCGTCCCCCGAAGTGGTATTATATCACCAACACTTTTCAGTATATATATCAATAAATCAGACATCTTTTTAAAGAAATATACTGATGTTTCAAAAGATAATGATAAGGTTGCTGCGGCCATGGTTACACAAGATTAAACCTATGTATGCCGGCTACCGAACAAAGTCTCAATATTCTCGGCAGGAGCGCAAACTATCTACCTCGCCCTTGAATATATTCAAAGATACAAAGTAATAAGAGCTGTTATCCATTCAGACTCTCTTTCTGTTCTACAAACTCTTAGCAATAGAAATATCAAAAATATATTCATTCGTAATACCTTAATACTATATCATGAACTTGCTTTTAACTTTCGTATTGCTTTTTGCTGGGTTCCTGGTCACATGGGAATACCAGGCAATAAAAAGGCAGATCGTTCCGCAAAGGCAGATTTATCGCTACCACTTGGTGTTTTTATACTTCATTTTACCTATTTTAAACCATTTATTTAACGAATCTTAAAAGCTCAGTGGCAGGAGGATTGGAATACCTATACCAATAACAAATTGCACTCCGTTAAACCTGTTATCGGTGAATGGTCTCCAGGCTATAGAGACAACCACCGAGACGAAGTTGTCCTTGCCCGTCTTCGGATGGGTCATACATACCTTACACATATGGTGAAAGGCGAAGATAATCCTTGGTGCATAGGATACGATGTGCCGTTCACCGTTAAACATGTTTTATTGGACTACAGTGACCTTCTGTCTGCTCAAGAACGTTTTATCGTAACATGAAATGTCAAAAATCCCTTTTTGAACCTGTTGAGATTTTTTTTTTAACTCATATCTTATTCATTTCTTTTCAAAGGAAATGCGGACATGACAGTAATACATAATGTACAGAAAAAAAGATCATTCATTCCAGTTTTCTAAACATGCATAGACATTTTATATTAATCAGCCACATTCATACTAGTTAGCGTATATATTCCTTGCTTACATAAGTTCATACCCCGATGATCATACATGTTTTAATGAAATTAAAGTGAAGTGAATATTCCATATTGTCATGTGTCATGTTATATGACAGAAAAGAATAGAGACATACGCGGACAGTTACAAGTAGCAGACAGACAAGACAAAACAAAACAAAACAAGACAAGACAGACAGACAGACAGACAGCGGGAGGGAGATGTATTGACAAGACAGACAACAAAGACATATACAAAGACAAAACAAACACCCTGAAGTATAAAGAGAAGTATCAAAAATGTGTAAGAGTAGTAGAAACTAACTGAGATCAAAATTGACTACAGCATAACTTAATAAGAAAATCAAGATTAAAATGAGCCCAACTGTCAGAGTTAGGTTGATAATATATTTCAATTCTTATTAAAAATTAGAATCTTTTTCCATTTTCCCCATTCTTTATTAAAATCATCAAGAAAAGTACCACCCCTTTTTTATTGCTATATACTTTTGGACATTATGGTTAGAGTTTATTAGTGAATGTATGTTTAATGTGGTATCAAAACATCTAGTTTTATAAATATAGTGTTTAATGATGATATTAATTTCATTATCTATTCTACTAAATTCGTGACTAATTGGCCAAAAACTAAATATTAAAGATTGTTTGTACAATTTAATAGTAAAAGGAATTAAAAAAGCATCTAAAAGTGTGTCAAGACTCTGTAGTAAGTTTTGTACTTTTTGACATTCTCAGAATATGTGAGATATGGTCTCGGACTCTGATTTGCAAAATGTACAAAGAGGGCTTAACACTATATTTGCCTTGAAAAGTATTGAATTAGTTGTCAGAATATTATGTAAAATCCTATACTGGAACCACTGAAATTTTGAATCTTTTGTTATTTTAAAAGGTAATGAAAAATATTTGCCCAGTCAGAATTATCAAAGTCAAAATCATTGGCCCATTTTTTCTCCTAGTTGGAATTTCATCATTCTTAGATAAAATTTTATATAAATGTTTTGTTCCTTGAACTTTATTGAAGAAAGGTTCAAAGGAATGAAGGGGAGTAAAAGATGTGTGTCCTGATCAATAGGTTTGCCAGTAATGAATAATTTCACAGAGTTGACAATACCTTGGAAATGAAGAAAATTTGTAAATAAACTGTATTTCTGTGAAAATTCCTGATAAGAGTAAAAAGTGACAGGATTTGTAGTTTTCAGCAAATCGTTAACTACTCTAATGCCCTTAATGAACCACATATGGTAAAAAGTAGACTTTCCACCAATAGTTATATTAGGATTATACCAAACAGGAGTTTTCAACAAAGAGAGTTGTCTGCCCTTTAGAGATTCAGAGTTCAATAGTCTTTTCCATGCTTTTAAGACATCACACCAAAATAAATTTTTGCACGCTCTTTGACACATGTACATAATCAGTTCCACAATTTATAATTTAGTCAACATTAAAAAAACTCTTAAGTATAACTTGCCACTTTCTAAATTGTGAACTGAAAAAAAAATATCTTCATCCATCCTACTTTTAGAGCATCTATAAAAGAATTAATATTTACCATTTTCAAACCCTCCTCGAAGTATTCTTTAGTTATAACATTTCTTTTCACTTTGTTTTACCATTCCATAAGAATTTATACAGGATTGTATTTAACTTATTAAGAAATGAAATGCTTGGGTTTGGTAATGATATAAACAGGTAATTAAATTGTTATATTAATAATGATTAATTACATGAATTTTACCAATAGGTGTTAGCCTTCTTCTACTCCAGGACTTGATTGAAGATTTTAGCTTTATTAGTTTTTTGTCAAAATTTAATTTTGGAATTTCATGTAAATTAACACTAAATTCCAACCCCAAGAGAGTAAATTTGTCCCTACCCCATAGTAAGCCTAATTCAGGTAAAAAAGTGTCATTGTTATATTTTTTGTTCCCTATCCAAATAATCCGAGTTTTGTTTGTGTTGATTTTTAATCCAGATATGTGAACAAAACGATTGATTCACGTAAAGATTTTTCTGACCCGTCAAGAATGAGTGAGGTGTCGTCTGCATATTGAGAGAGAAAGATTGGGTAGTTATTGACATTTATACCTGTTATATTATTATTGTTTCTTAACCTGACTGATAATATTTCTGTATATAAGATAAAGATATATGGGGCGACAGGGTCCCCTTGACGACAGCCGCGCTTCACCCTGAAGAAAGAAGAGAGATTTCCACCCTGTGTTATAGCCGAATTAGCATTATTATGCATTGTTCTTATCCATTTTCAATGCTGTTCCCAAAGCCAAAAAAGAAAGAGTTTTGTCTATAAATTTACATGAAACAGAGTCAAAAGCTTTTTGAAAGTCAACCATGACGAGCATTCCAGGAATGTTATTATTTTTTGTATAATTCATGATATCATATATGAGCCTAGTGTTTTCACCAATGTAACGTTCTTCTAAAAATCCAGTTTGATCATGATCTATAAGTTTTCCTAGAACAGTTTTTAACCTACCCGCTATAACCCCAGAAGCAATTTTGTAAACAATATTTAATTCTATTGGTCGCCAATTTTGAATAAAATGTCTTGGCTTGTCACTTTTTGGAATGCATGAAATAATACCTTGTTTTTGTGTAATAGAAAGTTCATTATTATAATAGCCAAAATTTAAGATCTAATCACGAAAGTACCAAGATGTTTCCAAAAACATTTTTAAAAATTTGTAGAAAATCCGTCTGAGCCTGAACTTTTTATTTTTCATTTTACTTAAAGTTTTCCCAGCTTTCTCTAACTTAATAATATCTTCTAACTTATTAGACTCAATAACATTAAATTTGGGAACATGACAATGAGATAAGAAATCATTCAAATTAGCATCTTCTATATCATCTGAGTCATCTTATAACTTATCTTTAACATTGTTTAAAATTTCTTCCTGATCAGATGTTATCTCATTATTTGGTTTTTGTAACTTAGGAATAATTTTGGAGGTGAAATTTCTATTTTCTAAACCTAAAACATATTTTGTGGGTTTCTCTCCTTCTTCTAGCCATTTTGCCCTTGATCTAATAATATTACCCCTTATATTATGTAATCTCATTGCTTCAAGTTCTTTTTTCTTATCTTCTAAGTCATTTGAATCAACATTATCCCTATCTTCTAATTCTTTTGTAGTTTTCTTAAGGTTTTCGTCCCTGGGATTTTGCTGCTTCTTAGCTTGTTGAGATTTGTAAAAACTCTACATTACCTGAAAGATGTTGGTCTATAAAATAGACTATGACGTAGCATTTTAATCTTTTGTGTTAACATACCCATTTAAGATTTCTAACATTTGTCTTTTGCCTTTTGGTTTGTTTAATGATATTTCCTTTTGGATCGCTGTGTGTTTTACCGTTGGATGGCCCTACTGACCTGTTAAGTGTTGACGGGCCGTTAACAATGTAATATTATTATTATCATTATTATTATTATTTTTAAAGACAAAAAAGAAAAAAAAATGAAAATAGTTAACATAGATGAGTTCGCGGATGGTACCAGCATTGGCATAGCAACAAAAAGATGTCCTTTTCGAGAAAAGAAAAATGTCCAGAGATATACCTAGGTGAAAAAGAAATTCGGTTTGTGAAAGAAACGCGATAATTGGGTATGATCTTTGATAGAAAATTAAAAGAGAATCCACAATTAAAACATTAATGAAGAAGGCTGCAAAAAAGCACTTAACACATTAACATACGTCTCGGGAAATAAGCTAGGCACAAACCAACTTACTCCATTGGCTCTATATAAAACGCTTATTAGATCGAACATGGAATATGGTTGCCAGGCGTACAATTCGGCTTCAGATACTACATCTAAATTGTTAGATATAATTCGCTCTTAAAACACACCAAAAAACTTCAAAAAACATCCGACGAATCGCAATTGAATTAATGGTAAGAAAACTCATACAACAGTGTGTGGTTGAAGAGGGATTGAAGTAAATATGAGTTATTGACATGGCCTTGCACACATAAATGGCAATAGATTCGGCTGTTTACAACAAGGTAAGGTTACACTGACCATCATACAAACTGCTTAGATAGGCTTCAGATAATGACTTATATAATTAGGGAACGAACTAATACATGAACAAATGTAGTAGATCAGTAACGACAGAATACCTCTGGCCACTGGTCAATACATAATTGTTCACAGTAGATGTCAGTAATAAATTAACACAGGTAGATGCATTATGATGAAACATCTGACTTATGTCTACCAAAATTTGAATAATTTAATCTTTCATGATAACTTTTAATAGTTCACAAATAAAATCAATACGCAATAAATCAAAGACAGAGACAAATAAAAACAACATGCTTAACCGCCATATAACGATATTCCAAACTAAGACCTTGTCAGACACAATTTATACAAAGTTAAAATTGAAGAAATTATTCCTAATCCAACTGAGCTCTGGAAATAAGACACTTCCGAAATTAGTACCGAAATTTAAGACAAAACAATCAGAAGGCAATATACGTCTGAAACAAGGGCAATAACTTTAACTATGATTGACGAGAAATATAACATCGATATCAAAATATTATACTGAAGGATAAAAAATCTACAAACGAGTAGAGAAGGGTTGGGTATTTATTCCGGAGAAAACAACATCGCATTATCACTCAGACTGACCGGTCAGTGATCAGCTGATACCATTGAAATCATTGTTACAGAGTTAGCTATTAGACCCATTAACATCAAAAAGTCTATAGATAGAACAGTAATTTTCATAAATTATTGTCTGTCCTCCTTACGATCAATACATACTAGAAATAACGCAAGAGCAAAATGTAATTAGATATATACTCAACCTGATTGAAATCTTAAAAACGACAGGAAATTTGGGTTAAATTTGAATATGTTTCATCACATAGCAATATACCAAACGAAAAAGCTGATGATCGGAAAAACATGATACACTTTGAATTGTCAGGTGAAATTATCCATGACAGAAGTACACTCATTCGTCAATCAACGGTCAGATAACTACAACTTTAGGAAAATCACAGCTCAACCAAATACAAAACCGAAAGCATTAGGACGAAATGAATAAGAAGATATTGTCAACACAAGACTATGATTAGGAACAACTATACAAAATAGTGATATCAGCATGATTGTTAAAGAAATTCAGAAGAGAGACAAGATCACATTTATTTTCGATCTTGCAAAAGATGCGACAAGAAAAGAAATTATCCTATTTCCAAATTAGAAAGAATAAAAATTCAACACACGTTCATGAGCCAGATTTTAACATCATATAAAAATGAAAAACTCGTGCATAGACTGTTCATCGAATTCAAAAGAAAGATCGACTATTTAGACAAAATATAAACGGTAAACCGAAAGGTCAAAGGGAGACAATTCCCAAAATCAGACGCGACAATAACACTGTTCACTTCACGAACGAGCGGAATGCTCGCTGCTGAAAACGTAGAAAAAAAAAAAAACACACACACACACAAGCAAACACGCGCTTTTACGTATCTTTTTTTTTTTTTTTTTATAAAAAATGACTCTAAAATTAAATAACAATAACAAAATTCATACAAACCTTATGAGTAAATAAACCTCGTTGTATATAGCACTTAAAACAATAACACACGACAAAACTATCGTGGCGTGGTTTATTTTCACATCGCCTATTTTCGTCAGTTGAAATATTAGTCATACTACTAATTTGTTCGTAACAGATCAAGGTGAGTCTTCCCGGTCCAACGGAAATGAACTGATCATCCAGTCGGATTCGAGTTTGAGGTCTTGGTCAGTGGCATGTGGACTCGCTAACCGCAGGTAGGGCAAACAGAGAGGGTCTGTTTATGTACAAAGAACATGGGGAGATACAAAACACATAGATCAAAATCCATGTGTTCATAACAAACAACCAGACATCATGCTTAGAGAAATGCAATTTAAATCCTGGACAAGTCCAATAAAACTATATAAACAAACAAATCCACATACATAAATTAAATCTAGGTGGGTCCCGATTCTTCTTTGCAGCTTCTCGACATGTTTTAACTGCTAGAGTTACGATAAGCGGGTATTATTAGGCCCTGGACCCGTCTTCTAAAGCTGGCCTAATCAAAACGTTCACCGCTACAGGCGTGGGGGAGAGGGGGAAGGGGATGCAGATCGCCACCTCACGTCGCCAAAGCACTGATGTTTGTCGGTAAGACGATACCCGGACACGGTAGGAGTCGCGGAGACGGAAACATGTCAACCAACCAACGAGCGCGCACGCCGGTGTAAGGATAATCGCGATCGCATCAAATACATGAACTCTCAGTGTCTCGTGACTAAGCGAAATAACAAGATGAGCTGTGATTTTTTAAGATTTTTTGCCCATGTATTATTCGGTTAAAGCACGAGTGAAATTTAGAGATGAAGTTTCAGAAGATTTTGAATGTATGACAGGGTAAAACAAGGGGAAAGTGTATCCCCATTTTTATTTGCCAGGTTTGTGAATGACCTTGAGCACGAACTTATTATGAATGGATATGAGAGTGCTTCGAAAGGATTTTTCAAATTATTTATACTTTTATAAGTTGACGATGTCACTTTGGTAGCGAGTTCCGGTACTAGTTTGCAAAATGGATGGAACATGTGGGATGCTTATTGTAAACGATTGAAACTGGGATTTAATGATGAAAAATCTAAAGTGATGGTTTTCAAAAAAGGAGGAAGAATACCAGAGAATTCAAGAGTTGCAGATAGTTAAAAAGTTTTCCTTTTTATGGGTTGTTTTTACACCGGGAGGCTCTTTTTCGGAAGCCCAGCTGAATTCAACAGGTCAAAGTTCAAACTCATTGTTTCAACATGACAAAACTCTACAAAAATATTACTTTATCGCTGAAACATGTCTATGCTTTATTCCTTGGATTGCTTTATCCTGTGTTAACTTCTCGTATCATAAATTGGGCCTAACTACTGAAACACGTCTTATGTACTCGTGGTTTTGGTTATGTCTGATTTTAACAGCGCGTTGGAGATAATGATATATTTTAAACATAATTTCAGACTAGAGTACGGAACGTGTTTAAACAAGATTGGCATAGTGAACTTGTAGGGTCACCAAGGGCCACATGTAGTGTACTTTTTTTTCAAATGAATTTGGTAACAAGAGGTATCTTGATTGCGTTAACAACAAATTATTTTTTAAAAAACTTTAACAAAGTTTCGAGTGGCATCTCCATGATTAAACATAGAGGCGGGAAGGTGGCATCGTCCAAATCTAATGCCTCCAGAAATACGTTATTGTTGTTTGTAATCAAATTGAAAATGAAGATCATTTTATTGTGAAATGTTGTCTATATTTTGAACTTAGGTCAAAATTTTAGAATAGGAAATATTATGTTAGACCGAATATATTTAAACTTGACTTGGCCATTTTTATCTACAAAACAAACGAAATGAGAAATATAATCGTATTTAGCTAATGTTTTGTAAAATTATGTACATAACATCCTTCGCATACTGTATAATACTATTGTATTCCATGTTCTAACCGTCTGATAGACATTATTAAATTAAACAGAGGAAAGCGATTAATTTATCAGTAGACTATTTTCTTGTTGTCTGAAATTGAACGAAAGTATTATTTATTTATTTATTTATTTATTTTTTATCTATTTGTTTTATTATTATTATTATTATTATTATTATTATTATTATTTTTGTGTACTTTTTTGTTTTTCACTGTTTTCATACTGGGTTGTAATAGTATTGTATATTCTGGTCCTGCTATGTGTATGTTTATCACGCGCACAGAGGCAGTGACGTCGATAACATATGAACATTACATTACATAATTTATTAGGATATTTCAATTGTTCTTCGTTGCGTGTTTTAATTCGTATGAATAGTAGTACGGCTCAGAATGTACGTGTATAATAAAGTTGACAAGTCGGAAACCGTCAGATGTAAATGAAAATTATTGAATTACAGGGTTTGTGCACCTCCACATCTACGTTTTGACTTTGCTTTCTGATACTGTGGATTTCACTTAGTCGATATGATTCACCGGTTTTCAGTCTCCGTGACTCCTCCCGTGTCTGAGTATCGTCTCACCGACGAACGTCAGTGTTCTGGCGTGTCACTTCTGTTCCGGCGAGTCACTTCCTCGGCTTCAAAATTTATCTCTTTATCATCACTATGGAGTCCGGTTGGTACGTGTCCTCTGTCATATAGGTAAGTGTTCCCGTATCTACACGTATACAAAACAGCTGTAGTGTTATCTATTGAACGGTCATATGATGTGTCCTTGGAAAAGGGAGTGATATGTATTCTCAAAACGAAGTGAAAACTTCAAGCTATTTTGATATCTGGTTTTTCATTGTTTTATTACAAGATAGAAATTAAATTAAAACCTACTTGATCTAGTTTTTTTTTAAATATGTTTAAAAGAAATAATTGAAAATCCAATGATTTCTCCATTTTAGTTATAAATAGACTTTATTGACGTTGAAGAAAAGATAATTTTCCGGAAATTTTCTCTGCTATTTTACAGCTTACTTATTTCTTTACAATTAGGGTTTTGGTGTCTTTAAAAACCTTAATAACAACTTCTAAGTGTTGTTTGTCTGATGAACATTTGTGTTGTTTAAAGTTGTAAAGAGAACAATATATCTAAATGTACATGTATTAGGAAAAAAAAAACTTAAAAAAACCCAGAAAGAACAAATAGGAAAGAAATCACTTAATACTGAATATCCCATTAATAATCTATCGGAATAGCACGTTAAGTAGCTTTGTAAATACAATTTTACGAAAACTATACCTTTTTAAGATATTATCAAGGCTATCGGGAAAACTGGTTTGTTGACATAATAGTAAGCAGTTCTCGTCGAGTGGTCGTGAAGAGTTACTGACATACTGTCCACCTGGAGCAACACTATATTGAGTATATTGTAAGTGGAAAGCATGTATTGTGTTATCTCGTTTTACATGAACAGATATGTAAGGTATTAAAGGTATTAACGTACAAACGTGTATACCACGATGAGCACGAAACAAACGTGAAGTCAGTAGACCGAGACTGCTACAAACAGCAAGAGTTGTCTCTCTTCTTCCAGTTCGGCGTGCCTTCCATTATGAGGGCTGGTTTGTACAACGGCAATATGTCGGTGATGTGAATATATATGTATTATCTCAGATATGGTAATATCTCTTCCTCCTCTTACTCCTCCTCACATGTCTTATATTATGTGATATACCTTGTACATATGTTAAATGTTTAAAACATTATCCATTAACTTTATTCTGAAATATCATCATTTAAAGCAGTGTTCAGGCATCATGTTCGCAATTAATGTCATATTATACTTAAATATACAATACTAATTGACTATTTAATCGTTCTTGACAAATCATAACAAAATGTAATTATCAAAGTATCATGTAACGTTGTAAGACTCAAACTAGAGATATATTTACATAGTAATTAAGAGAAGTCTCTTTAATGATTTGAGGCTTGGGCTTGGGTGTGTTTGATGAACGAAATTGATAAGAAGACTTAGCTCGGTAGACATTTTCCTGTCCGGTTGAAACACGCTGTCGTGTCTAATGCGTAACTCGACGACTATGCCGAAATCACTTGTGGCGGTATACATTGCCCGTAACCTTGTCCCCACGGCGTGTACTTTGCAGTTTTCATGTCGCTGTACGCCTAATTTTCACGTTTACATCACGCCGTTCACTCTTAATGACGCTGATCGCTGGCGTACAACGTATCCGGTCTCGGCTCGAATCCCAAAACCCAGTCTAGGATTATAATAAGTGATATATATCTCGAGAACGAAAAATCAAATAAATTTCAAATATTCTTTCAAAATCTGTTTCAACGTTTTAAAACTGTTGCACTTTGAACGGAAACATTACAATTTGCCGTTGAGTGTTACGTCCATATTTTCACCCCCTCAAAAATGCAAATCGCGGTACAAAGTGTTGATCCTCGTCAATCATAAAGTAGTTTTAATCGACGGATAAATGCCTGTTTCGTCTGCGTATATGGCGGAAGCACCTTCAGAGGTTGCAAGAAAATATGGTATACTTCCATAAGGCTTCCCACCATGTCCAATCGTGTCTGTTTCCCGATACTGAAAATACGTTGATTAATTCTAATAATGCATCGGAGAGCAGTACATATGCCGTAATCTACTTTTGATTAAAATTTGAATGTTGCATAATAATTATTTGGTTTTAGGGAAAAAGAAAAAACGGTGCGATTATCAGCCAAACGCTGATATCTTGTAACATACAAGCTCATAATTCAAATATGAATTCTGTTACATCTACGATTAAATTTATTTATTTTCGTTTTTTTTTATTTCTGTGATTACAAAACATACCTGGTTTGCTGTCAGGGCATAGCTTAACGTCAGTTAAGCAAATATAGCGCTGGACCTGTCTTAGATTTCTTATGCAGATTTGAAATATTTAAATCGATAGAAATATTTAAGAACAATTTTGTTCAGTAAGCAAAATATTTAATTTCCATTGTTTCATACATTTTTATAAGTTACAATTTTGTTTTTTTCAGCGTCATGTCAATTTCGCCTTTGAAGGTTGTGGTATGTGGTGGTGGAAATGGCGCCCACGTTTTCTCAACGCTTGCTTCTACTCGTGCAGACACTCACGTTAGTGTTTTGACAATATTTGAAGACGAAGCTGAAAGATGGACACAAACCATGAAAAGCGATATGGTTGTATCCTTTCCTGCGGAATCGATTCAATTAAAGTCAAAACCATCTTTGATCACAAAGGATCCAGCAGTTGTGATTCCGGAAGCTGACGTCATAGTCATCGTTGTTCCGTCATATGCGCATGGCCCGGTATTGCAAGCTATTCTACCATACTGTAGACCAAACACGTTCATAGTTGGCATGCCAGGACATCCTGGTCTAGACTTTCAATTTACACATATATTTGGGAGCAAGGCAAAACAGTGTACTCTAGCTGTGCTAGAAACGCTTCCATGGGCATGTCGAATAATTGAGTTTGGTGCGCATGCCCAGGTTCTTGGTATAAAAGAGAAAGTTGGAACTGCTTTGGTGCAAGGTGAAAGTTGCAACATCCCGTTTGACTGTATTAGCACACTCCAGCTGCTGATTGGCGACAAGCCACGTCTAAATGTAGTACAAAATAGTTTAGTCGTGAATCTAATGGCGAAAACAATGATTCATCCTCCAATTATGTACGTTAAGTGGAGGAACTGGAATGGTAAACCTCTCACAGAAAAACCGCTGTTTTATCAGGGAATGGATGACGCTCAGGCAGACCTGTTGACTCAAATCAGCGAGGAAGTATTACTCATATCTCAAACTATCAAAAACAAAACTTCCCTTGATATTTCACCGATTACTCATATTCAGGACTGGATAAAGGAATACTATGCCGATCAAGTGAAGGATGGAAGTTCACTGAAGCGTGCCTTTCAGACCAATGAAGCATACAACGGCCTGGTGCATCCAATGAAAGATGCGGAAGGAGGAGGTTATGTTCCTGACTTCTCTTATCGCTATACCCGTGAAGATATCCCGTTCGGATTGGTAGTTCTTAAAGGAATTGCCGTGATTGTCAATGTCCCGACTCCAGCTATGGATACCGTAATTAGCTGGGCACAAGAGCGCCTCGGGATGGAGTATATCGTTGGATCAGAACTCCGTGGTCGTGATTTGTCTCAGACAAGAGCCCCTCAGGTGTTTGGTATTCATACAGTCGAACAGCTTTTGTTGCCAGGTCAATGCTGACTCGTTGTTTAATATAGTTAATCAGATTCCAGTTGAAAGATATCAAAACAATGTTTGACGTATAGAAATATTATTTAACCAGAGTTCATTAATCGTTCTGACTATAGGAAGATATGATGGATATTAATGTTTTACAAAGACTAATCAGATGGGATGTAATCGTGGATGGATAGTCAGAGAAATGACAACTCGTTAAAATTTTGAATTACAATAATTTATATATTTATCAATATGTCTTGATTATTGCTACTTTGATCATTCGGACATTTCCTGAAAATCGTCAGTATTTCAAGTGAATTTATTGTCTCTTTTAGCTATGGACTAAGTAAAGACACTATTCTGTGAAAGAAAGAAATTTAGTTATTGCCGAATATGTTTCAATATGCAACTAAATACATAATTTGTAATAAGATTTCTTGACAAATCAGAATGGCTATGTTTTTAGTATAGAGGACCCTTTGTCATTTTGGTAATTAGAGGTACTAGTTTGTCATTTTGGTAATTAGAGGTACTAGTTTGTCATTTTGGTAATTAGAGGTACTAGATTGTCATTTTGGTCATTTGATAAACTAGTTTGTCATTTTGGTCATTTGATAAACTAGTTTGTCATTTTGGTCATTTGATAAACTAGTTTGTCATTTTGGTAATTAGAGGTACTAGTTTGACATTTTGGTAATTAGAGATACAAGTTTGTCATTTTGGTAATTAGAGGTACTAGTTTGTCATTTTGGTTATTATTGGTACTTGTTTGTCATTTTGGTAAATAGGGGTCCTAGTTTGTCATTTTGGTAAGTGGAGGTACTAGTTTGTCATTTCGGTAATTAGAGGTACTAGTTTGCCATTTTGGTAATAAGAGGTACTAGTTTGCCATTTTGGTAATTAGAGGTACTTGTTTGTCATTTTGGTCATTTGATAAACTAGTTTGTCATTTTGGTAATAAGTGGTATTAGTTTGTCATTTTGGTTATTATTGGTACTAGTTTGTCATTTTGGTAATTAGAGGTACTAGTTTGTCATTTTGGTAATTAGAGGTACTAGTTTGTCATTTTGGTAATTAGAGGTACTAGTTTGTCATTTTGGTAATTAGAGGTACTAGTTTGTCATTTTGGTAATTAGAGGTACTAGTTTGTCATTTTGGTAATTAGAGGTACTGGTTTGTCATTGTGGTAATTAGAGGTACTAGTTTGTCATTGTGGTAATTAGAGGTACTAGTTTGTCATGTTGGTTATTAGAGGTACTAGTTTGTCATTTTAGTAATTAGAGGTACTAGTTTGTCATTGTGGTAATTAGAGGTACTAGTTTGTCATTTTGGTAATTAGAGGTACTAGTTTGTCATTTTGGTAAGTGGAGGTACTAGTTTGTCATTTCGGTAATTAGAGGTACTAGTTTGCCATTTTGGTAATAAGAGGTACTTGTTTGTCATTTTGGTAATTTGAGGTACTAGTTTGTCGTTTTGGTCATTATGGGTACTAGTTTGTCGTTTTGGTCATTTTGGGTACTAGTTTGCCATTTTGGTAATTAGTGGTACTAGTTTGTCATTTTGGTAATTAGAGGTACTAGTTTGTCATTTTGGTAATTAGAGGTACTAGTTTGTCGTTTTGGTCATTTTGGGTACTAGTTTGCCATTTTGGTAATTAGTGGTACTAGTTTGTCATTTTGGTAATTAGGGGTACTAGTTTGTCATTTTGGTAATTAGGGGTCTTAGTTTGTCATTGTGGTAATTAGAGGTACTGGTTTGTCATTTTGGTAATTAGAGGTACTAGTTTGTCATTTTGGTAATAAGAGGTACTAGTTTGTCATTTTGGTAATTAGAGGTACTGGTTTGCCATTTTGGTAATTAGAGGTACTAGTTTGCCATTTTGGTAATTAGAGGTACTAGTTTGCCATTTTGGTAATTAGAGGTACTAGTTTGTCATTTTGGTAAATAGGGGTGCTAGTTTGTCATTTTGGTAATAAGAGGTACTAGTTTGTCATTTTGGTAATTAGAGGTACTAGTTTGTCGTTTTGGTCATTATGGGTACTAGTTTGTCATTTTGGTAAATAGGGATGCTAGTTTGTCATTTTGGTAATAAGAGGTACTAGTTTGTCATTTTGGTAATTAGAGGTTCTAGTTTGTCATTGTGGTAATTAGAGGTACTGGTTTGTCATTGTGGTAATTAGGGGTACTAGTTTGTCATTTTGGTAATTAGGGGTACTAGTTTGTCGTTTTAGTAATTAGGGGTACTAGTTTGTCATTGTGGTAATTAGGGGTACTAGTTTGTCATTGTGGTAATTAGAGGTACTAGTTTGTCATTTTGGTAATTAGAGGTACTAGTTTGTCATTGTGGTAATAAGGGGTACTAGTTTGTCATTTTAGTAATTAGGGGTACTAGTTTGTCATTGTGGTAATTAGGGGTACTAGTTTGTCATTTTTGTAATTAGGGGTACTAGTTTGTCATTTTGGTATTTAGGGGTACTAGTTTGCCATTTTTGTAATTAGGGGTACTAGTTTGTCATGTTGGTAATTAGGGGTATTAGTTTGTTGTTTTGTTCATTTTCAAAATTTCGCACATTATTATATAATTAGTGGCTATAACTAGTTTTAAGATCTTCAGCGAAATATCCCTTTACTTAGATATCCATCGTACTGGGAAGTAAAATGTCTCATTCAATAGTGATTTTAATGTAAACTGAGAACTAACTTCTGATTTGTGTATGATTTCTCGTTCTTAGTTATTTACTTTGTCATTCTGTCATCGGCTTTCCTGCCACAAATTGGCACATCAACCTGACACGTCCGGATAAATGCCGGATCAAGTGATATTTTGCAAACTGTCGAATTGAAATTGACTTTAATAATCACCAAATAATTGTACTATTCCTGTGATCACTATCTAGTAATAAGTACACAAGTTTTCCGTTGATTTTTCAATCTGTAATATTAGCCAACCATTTTTCCCAAATACCACAAAATGTGCGATCTTATCGCTCAGTTGTACGGTCGAGACTGTATAGTGCGTGTGTGCGCACGAAGTTTTTGATGCGTTGTGCATTACCACAACTGTAGCTAGGCTTTCATTTGAAATAACTCTCCATCTGAAGTGAGACTGAAACGCTAGATTTTTATAACGCATTATGACTAATATATCCGATTTGTCGACAATGTTTTATGATACGAGGGCTGATTGATAAGTTGTGAGCTTTGTATTGAAGAAGTTAAACAGGGATGTCCCTTGTCAGCTCTACTATTCACTGACAATTTAAGGCTGTGCACCGGAAGACTGGTGTCATTTGGTTAGTTCATGTCGAAGAGGTAATACTCTAAATAAAGTGTGCAAATGAGTTTTTGCAAAATGGACAAAATCGCTGATAGAACAGTGATTCAATATTTGTATAAGACAGTTGTAGCACCTAAGTATATCCATACTGATATTGAGGCAACACTAGGGAATGGTGCCTCTTCATATGCTATAGTTAAATGGTTGGTGGCGGATTTAAGAGTGACAGGCAGAACCTTGGAAATGACTCCTGTCCTGGAAGTCTTGTCATTGTTGCAACCCCAGAAGTTGACAGTTGGTCAAATGCACACTAGGCGAACTTTGTCGCGTGCTAATCTGAAACTTTTGGAGGCAGATCCTGGTAACGTTTGTCCATCAATTCCCCCAGAGGCCAAACAGCAGTCTGAGCAGTGGAAGCACCATGGTTGACCCTGCCAGAAAAGACTATTCCAGCTGAAGGGGTTATGGCCTCGTTTGATTGGGAAGCTGATGGTGTTCTGATGGTAGATAATCTGCAAAGGGGACAAACAATGAATGACACATATTATGCAACACTCCCTAGGAAGAGAAAATATTAAACTCAAGCGCTGCGGAACAATGCCACTGTTTAAAAGTCGGTCATTGCCGTGGCTGCCATTAACGATTATGGATTAAGATTGATTGAGCATCCGCCTTATTCGCCTGATCTCGCTCCATCAGACTTTCGTGTTAATATCCGAAATTGAAAAACACCATTTACGGTGCTCACTTGCAGTCAGATGCTGATGACATACATGCAGTGGAGGACTTTCTGATGGTCCTCGTTAAAGTGGCATTGAGGCGATTTAACATTGCTGGCAAAAGTGTATAGATACTGAAGGGGGATATGTTAAAAATAATACGTTATGTCCACCGAAAGTCAAACCATTCAACATGAGGCTCACAACTTATCAATCAGGCCACGTACGTATTGAGAACCTAATGGATGCCAATCTGAAATTTACATTGTTTTTGATGTTCCTAACATATAGGATCTATTTACTATGTAAACAAATACCGGTGGCAATCGGTAGGTCAAAAACGTTTATATTTGTAAAGGTATTATCAATTTTTATTTACAGACAATGAAATGTAATGCAGGTTAAGTAAATATTGATTGTCCTAATAACAAAATAAACAATTCAATTATAGTGCCGAGTCTAGACAAAGATACCCATTGTCAAAATAGTGCTTCTTATCTAAAGCAATCTTGGACAATGTAGGCCAGATGAATTACCACCGATAGATTAAAGCGAGTCGGTTGTTGTCTGGATGGCAAGTCAGAAATCGAGTTTAGAAATACGTAGTTTTTTGGCTTTCACGTTTCAATGCTGCTTTATACAGAAATAATTAAGAGCCCATTATGTTCGAACTACATTATATTCATTACCTCTCTTCACTGCAATGCCATTGCAATCAAACCTTTCAAAGATTGAACTAAAGTCACACAAGTGAATAGCACCTATTAGACTATGATACAGGAGAAACAAACAATTAACTGAATTGATGCATAGGATTAAAATCCAAAGTGATTGAAAGAAATGTAAAAAAAAAAATCTAAATGGGGATGTGCACTAGCACCATGATTCAGCAAATATTTGCATTTTCATATATCAGATAATTTTAGAACAACGTCAAGTGAAAGTGTATATTCTGAATCAAATGAATTAAAATGTGGCTTGCAGTCTACGGCAAACCTCGGGGATTGTAAGTCAACCAGCAGTGTCTACCACATGTTAGCTGAAAGACAAGTGAGTAACATGTAATACAAATTTTAGTGTTAGCTACAGTACAACCTTACAATGCATTTTATTGCATCATACAGCTGTTCGGTCCTTCAAGGACTCGTCAGTGATGCTAAGGCATTGATGTTGACCATACCCTGGAATATCGAATCAACTGCGATATGTAAACACCATAGCCTGGGAATGCAGGGATTTTATTACCCAGAAATTTGAAAAAAAGTAAATAAGAATAGAGAAATTGCAAACATCACGCTTATCATGCAGCTTACTGGGAAGCTGTCTGAGTTGGTTTCGTTGTTTGACACGACCGTGATAAGCGGCTGTCTTGTCCTTGATTACAGATTCTGGTGGGTAGATATGATGATCATGGTCACTTTATTTCTCGGTAATTAAAGAAAAGACGTTATAAATATATCTAAATGTGAAATTGAAAGACTTTGCAAGGTCTGTGTGAACTGACTTGTGGTAATCTCTTCAATGAATTCAGCCTCGTAAAAAACCAAAACAATTCGGCCAACAGAGTGGGCACTGGTAGTTCAGATAGGTGTGCCGATAGGTTGTTGTTACCACCGAACTCGACAAAAATGTTGTCAACCAGAAACTCATATATTCATTAATCATTATTAAGATTTCGTCGTCCGTATATTTCTTTGAAACTTTCACGCGTCGGTATAGTTCAATATAAGGTTCTTATCGGAAGCGTGTTCTAAAAAAAGTACTCGAAAACTGACAAAAACACATTCGTAAGAGAATTAATATCCAGCCAAAAAAGGGAATCCTCTATATTTCTATTATACACCTGCGTATTCGAACATAGTTGAAAGAGGAAAAGAAAGAAAAATGAATTTTTCCAGTTTCATTTTAAGATTTTATTGTCCGCACATGTTTAAAAGTCAATGTAGAGCTTCGATTTTCCCGTTAACATGACGAAAAGCTGATATAAATTTAGATCTTACATCTTGCTTCCTTTTCACATTCGATCTGACAACATCCATTAAGGAACCCTTGTATTGGCTATTCAAATTACCGCTTAACGAATCTTAAACGTGAATGAAGGGGGGATACATAGTTTGCGTGATCTTTTCATTTCGTCGCGTATTTACAAGTCAAATAATTAAAGTCTTATCCTTTTCCCCACTTACAGAGCGGAGTAACAGAGCGGAAACACAACGTGGTCCTTATAGGGTGTTGTCAGATTATATACCGAGAGCAATTCGAGAGAGAGTTAGTATCTGTATTTTAATTCATATTGCTTTACCCCATTCCTCTGACAGAGCAGGAAACTAAGTTCCTTCTATAAGGGAAACATGGAAGAGGCTACACTTAGGATATCATTATCTCCATTCTATTTGCTCCTGATATGACATGGCTGTTGGTACCCCTTCATATTCATGTCCTTTTACAATCCTAACAGATGCGAGAAGAAAAATTGTAAACAGCACAACATACATTACAACACAATAGAAAGTACAACACAATATCACCAATAGTCCATTGATGTTCTCATGTTAAGCGCGATTTCTTCATCTATGTCTATAAAGACCGATCGAGACGTGAGTAAATCAATATAAGCATACGTAAACTGAAAACCTTTACATAATGTACAAACAACCAATAGCCGTCAATAGCCAATAGCCATACAAACATTAAATAAAACATTGTCTTCACTAAATACTAACTTACTTCTATTTCAACTCTGGCGATTCCATTCAAAAGCCTCTCCAAAATAATACCAGTGTAGTTGTGGTAACTGTTACAAGAAATATCCAGAAACAATAAAAGTCAATAGCAGAGGAAACATCCATCCATGTAATTTGAACAGACTGATGTCGTGACGCATTTTCTTCGGAATCATTTTTTTCTTTGTCATAGTCAATTTTCTGACGTTGACAACTTCTACATTGAAGTACGAGGCTCAGTCTTACCAGACCTTGCACACAGCCTGGTATTCTACGAGAGTTACGTCTGAAGTGGATTCGAATCTCAAGTGTGCAAATCATCACAATCAGCGTTCCAATGATTAAGAGAAATAGAAGATACTTTCCAAGTAGAGACATAACGGACGAGACAGGAAGTGAAGAACTTATGATTGTGAGAAACACAGCGAATGCCAAGTATACTGTCATGCAGAATCCCAGTTTTTCACCACTTTCCACTGGAATCGCAAAGGTAAATACAGCTAATATGGACAGCATAAGAATAGGAGCGACGATGTTGTACAGGTAGTATTGGGGTTTTCGCTTGATTTTGAGGGAAAATTCTATCATAGAGTTTCTAGTTGTCGTTTGGAACATTTGGGTTTCCTGTCCAATTATATCCCATTCCGAGTTTTCTTGAAAATATTCGTAACTTATTTCATCTTGATCAAGCCTCACCAATACCTTGTCGATTTCATTGGTCCAGACGCCTACATTTAAATGACAGATTTGAATATCAAAGGGAAAATTCTCGATGTTCATTGCACATTTGGTAACAAACACTTCATAAGGTTCCCAGTAAACAGATCCATCATATTTTACGTTGATTAAAACAAAGCCATCTCCTAATCCCTTCATCTTGTTGAAATTGTTGTCCAAAGCCATGTCAGGTGTCCACATTTCGGTTTGGGGTATCAACAGCTGCAAGTGCAAAAACAATATATGTGTTCATCGCAAACCTACGAGTTGTTTGGTATACTTTTCATCTATAGAACATTAACTATATTTTGTCAATTTTAAACTAGTTTTATTCTTTATTTCTTCACTGAGGATTACACACAGCTTGGAATGCCGTTTACCGTATCCAACGGTTAATGTGCTTTCCAGTCTACAGTGTTAATTTCATTACGATGATTATACTTGTGTATATCGATTCAAAACGTTCCCTTGATTTTGAATAATTTTGGTAAAACCTTCATATTGGTAAAGATTAATTTCTTATTTACCTAAAAATCACTCTTTGTCAGGACTACCTCAAAACCAAGTTTGATGTCAATCCCTCTGGTGGAACTCAAGGCGAGGTTTAAAATGTAAATGACAAGCGAAACAATGGCATTGGGTCATATTTACGGTTTGGGCGACCCAACGCTGTAAATTTGTATTTTTTATATAATATTTATGACAACCCCTAACATATCACGTCATAAAATTAAAGAAATACCCTCATTGTTCGTTGTCGAAAGGTGAATTACCAAAACGTGCTAAAATACCCCAAAGGTTAAGAAAGGAAAGTGAGTATGGGAGAAAATAAGACAACTATATTTAAATGTGGCTTTGTAAGTAATAGTGTCAAAAAGATAGTGAAATAATGAAAAATATGACTCAATTCAGGTCAATAAACGGGATGTTCTCGATGTATTTTCAGAGCATAAATGTAACTGCATTATTTTCAGGTATTCATTGAGTATATAAGCATTTGATATCGTAATAAAAACAGTACATTTCATTGTTTTGCATGAATGAACATTTGATATTTCTTATATTGATCAGCTACAATTACCTGGTGTAGATTAAGGTTATAAAAAGAGGTTTATCTTGAGTAACTATTAACACATTATACAAACAGGTTTGCTACCTAGCTTTCAGTGATGGAAGTAGTGTAAAAGTTGAAATCAAAGTCAATTTATCATCGTTAAAAATGACGAAAAGTGATTATAGAGGTAACTGTCATTTAAACTCCCACGCAGTTGTAAATGATGTAATGAAACATGTGGTAGTATTCACGGTGTCATAATACACTTAGATTTTTTTCATTTAAATTGCACATTTATTACTCGGATGACATCAAGTAGTTTCCATAGTAAATGTAATGGAAATACGAATTTTTATGTGCACTGCGTATTGCTATCATCGACACTCATATCAATTCAATCTTTAACTTTTCTGAAGAACTGTAGAACACCTCCACGGCGGATGAAACCCCAGGAAATAAGAAATAGAGACGAAGCAAAATGAAGATCTCTCGACAAGTTTGCGGACAGATTACATATAGGTTTGCAAAATATCAGCGATTCTGAGATAAAAAGAAATCACAATACCTCTTCTACACCGCCGTAATCATCTGGATCCCAAGAAAGGTTCTCATCTTTCCATTTTAGAACTAAAGAAGCAGTGGTCGTGAGTTTCTCCTCTACAGCGTTAACATCCAAAATGGCTACAAGGTTTAGTCTTGTTTCCAAAATTACAGGTACATTGTGGTCTATGACAGGGCGAATAAACTTATTATAAGAACCTTTAACGAAAAGATCATTCCAAAGAATCTTAACATAGTTAGTGGCACCTGTTATCATAATATTGTTGTGACCAAGAAAGGTTTGTAAACTTATGTTGATCAGGATAACTCGAACAATAGACAGATACATGGTTACTCTTGTGAAGTGTACGTCAATCAAAGGCCGATATGAAACCTAGTTTCAAATGTCCACATACAGATTGAGCAATATTCGTCATTTATCTCCTCTTCAAACTACTTCATCTGTTAATGGCACTTTGCTTTTGAAGGAAAGTATTTTGTATCTTGTTGAGTTGCGGAAAAAACTGCATTCTGAAAGAAAACATACTTTAACATTATTTTGTCGGATGCGTAAAGATCAGCAGAATAGGCAGATAGGCTGTTGTTATGTGTGTGATTATGCTTTGGACCATTTTGTGTTCGTTAGTTGTATTAGAAAGTCAAAGATTTAAATGAATTTAAGATATTTCAAATAATGTTGAGATGATACATAATAAGCCATGTTTGTCATATTGTTTTAACATTTTGTGTATTTATTTAACTTTCTCACGAATTAAATATCTTTATGGGCTGCAATACCTCATCTGTTGCTTGCGTGAATTACAATGCACATAAAATCCGATGAGAATGGCCTAATGCGTTGAGCTCTATACAGAATATTAAAAATGGGAAAAATACCTGTCATTTGGCGAGTATTCAGGTCTTGTCCAAAGACCAAAAAGTTTTCTTTGAAACCGATCTGTCCGTTTTCAGAGCCTTTCACAATGATCCTCAAGTCTGCAAATAAAAGCATCTGAAGAAAATATAATACTATATATATAAGTATATTGTGATACTGACTCGATATATTGCAATGTTCTCTTTGAGAAAAAACGCCAAGTATATCATACAATTTGAAGAATCACTGTAAAACACATAAGGTTTTCCGTCAATTAAGCAGTCCATTTACCGTCACGTCGCTTGTCTTTCCTCATGTTTTATTGAAAGTCCACTTAAGATGTATTAGGTCTTTGCATCACTATTATGGAGACATATCTGAACTTATACTACGTTAATTTCACAATTAATCCGCAGAACATTTAGGAATTTGTTATCTATTTTCATTAATACAAAATTCAGTGTTATTGTTGTAATCTTTTTGATTAACTAAGAGATTGTAATTTGTCCAATTACTGCCTACAATTATTATAATTGAATGCTAGAATTACTTTTTGTAATACATGTAAACTGCCGTGTAAATCAAGTCCGTTGCCATGGACACGAACACTTTTGTAACACATTCTGGTAACATTATTGTGTTAAGAAGTCGCGCTTAATGTAGACGTTGTGTAATCTGTTATTTTATTTATAACATAAATTCAGTTACATTATAGCTTTGTGTTACGAACTTATACTTACTATTGTGTGATCCGGTATTTATCCCAGCTAATTTTGATTTCCTCAGCTTACATTACAGACTTAAAAACTGACATTAGGTCAACATTTTAAATGTGCGAAAACCGACTGATGCTTGGGTCATCATCTTAATGATTATCCACAGGCTAACAACAGTGTTGGACATACTCATGAAAACGCAATAGTGCCTCATTCACATGACAATTAGACATGGCTGTCAGATCCTTCCATTGTGCAAAAACATTTGCTAATGGTATGGTTTGTTTTGGCTAAAATAATTCATAGCTGTTACTGATGGTCTATAGCTATTGAAATTCCCACAATACAGTCCCTCGAGTATAATGCACTGAATACTAGTTATTGTGTTTAGCTACTGAACGTAGCATACAAGTGTAAATAGAAGCTGACCGTACATCTAAATAAGTAAAAAAAAAAACAAATCTTTACCTCAGTTATGTTTTTAACAACCATATTCTAGACAATATTTTTTACTTGAAATATCCATTATGATAAAGATTCCTATTCGCTGACATGAATGAATAACTGTGACCACCACATATATCTATTGACAAAGTTCTTTCCGATACTATCGTAATTTTCCAGGTTGACAAAACTGTAGTGAATTTAGATAAAGATTTACTAGTGTAGTGTGTATATATATCCCAAGCAAGTTCACAGTAATACACAATCTATAATTGTGATTGATTTCTTCTATGAGTTAGTGTCTCTTTTGGCTGGAAGCTTTAAAGAGGGATACACATTACATATTGGAGATTTCAATAGCCGTATTGGAACCGATGCTGATTATATCCAGTGTGACATTCTACATCCTAGTATGAGGGACATGTTTCAATTACTGGTTTCATACGTAAGTGTTAATCTTGACCGAGGTAAAAATACTTCCGGCAACAGATTACGTAATTTATGTAAATCTATTGGTATACGCATTTATAATGAGCGTGACCCACAAAGCTTTTCGCATAATTATATTTTTGTGGTGCCCAGGGTGTGAGTGTAATTGACTATTGTTTGATGCTAGCTGTTCTTTTTAAATGTGTCAATCGTTTCATTGTATGTAACTTCACGGAATTTTCTTATCAGCCTCTCCCCAATTACAACTTAAAGCAGATATATCTGATGATGACTATAATGGAGCTAATGCAGATTTAAACAGTGCTCCAAGTTATAGACTACAAGTGGAAAAGTGATTTTAAAAATCAATTTGTTGAATCTGTGCGGATCAACACTGATAAATGAAATAGCATCATATATGTGATAGTGACTTTAGGCAACAGTCGATAAGTAATATGATTGATAAATTTTCTAAAGAATTTACAAATCTTGTGAATCCTTTTTTGTCTTGTAAATAAAATAATATTAATAGATCTTCAACTCCACGTAATTCTAAGTATTGTAATTATGTACAATTTGCTGACCATAAACCTTGAGCACTTTTAACTTACGGAATGCATATTTGCAGATTTTTAAAAAAAAATTGTTACTAATGCAAAAATACAATTAATCATAATAATTTGATTAACAATTGAAAGAAATATAATAGTGCTGATAAAGATATGAAAGGCAATACTTCAGTATAGAAGGAGATATGCTTGATTGTCAAAGAAAATATAACCCAGGAGAATTTCATAAAAAAAAAAAAAATACTGAACATAATAAGAGTCAAATATAGGGTTAAAACAGTTGTTTGAACATTTTAGGTCCTTAGCTTATCACGATAACATAGTGAATATGCAGGTAACTTGCAACATGCTATTATCAATAAAGAGGAAGATATTGTATACGAAGAATATCACACCAGTGCAACCAAATTTGAAATCAATTCTGCCATTAGTGATTTAATGAGGGAATGCAAAAAGTTTCAGGTCCCAATTCTGACAAAAATGTTTAGTAATTTATTTGAATCTGGGCATATTCCAGAAAGCTGATCTGCAATTATTATTTTTCTAGAGCATAAACAAGTGTTTCTGACCCTGGATTTTTAGCTAAATTTTTTCACCTTTGTTATTTTTTATTCATGGTTTTGAATCTTTTGTCATTACAAACTGTAATGACTGCTTTACCTTACTTTGATTTTATATGCAGATTATTTTGTCTTTTCTTGGAGTGTTGAGGTATTTCAAAATTTATATGACAACTTCCAGAAGTACTCAACGACATGGGAATTGAAAATGAAAAAATACAATTGTTTCGTAATGGTAACAGAATTTCAGACATGAATTTTGGTTATACGATGGTACTTCTATTGAAGTATTGGATGAATTTAGCTATCTAGGTATGTTGTTTAGGTGCAATGATAACCTAAGTGTTCAAACTACTGATTTGGTCAGATTAGAAAAGTTATGTTTGCATTAAATTCCAAATGTAAAACTTTTTGGTTTAAATTTTCAAACCATGTTTAAACTTTTTGATACGTATGTAAGTAGTATTCTCTATTACGTAACTGAAGTTTGGGACGTAAAGAATTGTAATATTATTGAAAGGTACACCAAAATTTCTGTAATAGATTGTTAGGGGTTAAACGCTCAACTTGTAATGTTATGGTTTATGTTTATGAACGTTTATGAACTTGGTTGATATGTTCTTGCACATTTTGCAGTAATTCTTATCTTCAAATATTGGTTCAGGAAATTAAAGTCTAAAAAATGTATTTTGCAAACAGCCTATGAGGAATTCACCGAATGGCTGAAAATGTTAAAGCTAACTGTAAAAACTTGGTTTCTGTTGTAAAACAGAAATTATTCATGCTCGGCTTTGGCAATCTTTGGATTAATCAGTTAAGATATCCAGAGTTATTTCCCTTATGTTATAATTCTCATTGATCGATAATTTGTGATCTCAAATCTGACACAATACACACATTCATTAGTAGAGTTTATGCACCCTTTGTATAATAAATCGGTTTTATTTAATAGAATAATCATATCTAACACCATAAAACGACTAAAAAGTAAAGATTTAAAAATTATTAGATCATAACAGTTTGATTTTTAAAGTAGCTAAACGATTGCTGTAATGATTATATGGGCTATGAATCGTATTGTGTCTTGTCCAGCGTCGTTATTATTATATGCAATTATAGGCATTCAGCATTTTGATGAATGGTATGGCGAATTTAAGTTATTCTAACTTATTTTGATTTCTGTACATCTATAACTTCATTGAAGTGACAACGTTAATTTAGCTGAAGAATTTTAGTATTGTATGTTTTGTTGCTTGTTTTACGATTTTTGTCTCGTTCTCGCTTTAGTGATGGGAACCATCTTTGATCCTTTTTTTACTTCTATCTTAACATAAAGTGTTTATAAAATGCAATATTCATCACATTATTCATCTCTGTTAGGTCCCAAATGCCCTGGGGTACTTAAGTACACACTTACCTTTCAGCGGGGAAACTACTGACCTGAGGGGCAGAGTGGTCATGACAGGACTTTAATTAGCTCAATGGCCAGTGAATTCACCTGGATTGTATTGAACTGTATTGTTTATTCATTTACGCGTTACATCTCAAAATTATAAAAGTTGAATACTTAAGAATGCAATGTACATGTGCAATATAATATAATTATATATCATACTAAATATTCAGATATAATATGAAAATTAACGTACATTGTACAAGACGAGAAGCAAAACGACAGACTGGCGGACAGTTGAGAACACATATAGAAATATAATACGACAATCATTATTTTAATAATACCAGACAATATCATTTTACAAGGGCTAATTGGCATAAAATGCATGATAATTTAACAACACACATTAGGCTTAAAATGTTGATTGTAAATATTTGCCTAGAAAACAAAGTTCTTTTTCTATGACGTACTGTTAGTAATTGTACAAATTTGTAAGACGAGGGAAGGTTACATTAATACCTTTTAATAAACTTTTTACGTAAATCTATACACAGAAGACAAATGAAAATAAACTAGAACTCGTCTTCTACATTCTGGTTACAATGAATGCAAATCCTCTGTTCCTTATATTTTGATATCTACCTTCCTCTAAACGCAGCTGATGAGGAGATAATCGAAATTTAGATATAAGTCGAAGATAATTATCTGGAATAGATATTGATAAATAGTGCTGTAAAGAAAACGATACTTACACGAATTTGTACAAATAACATTTTGATGAATTTTCAGCATACTCATTCCGTAATAAAATTGTTGACAAAACGCTGTTTGAAGAAAATTATAAAAATACTTTTTTCGTTATCAAATCTATGATTTAACAAAACGTCTTCAAAACCAATTAATAGTAATAAGGAATTTTTTAACCTGACACCGCCAGTTACAGTTTCTGTGATGACATTTAATCATATCATCATAACGTGACTTCAATGTACAATTATTAGTTTTAATTAATTGCAGTCAGTATTTAATTATTCGGCACTTCAGGGTAATATACAGAGGCAAACGATCTAGTTAAGAATATAGTATAAAAGAAGGCGTATTCTTTTTAACATTCAAGACTTTTCTTAAAGAAATAGGAATGTACTTTTTCTATCTAATCGACTTGGATAATACTCCATACTTCATAGTTATAATTAAGACCA